CCTTTAGATGTATAAATATATTAAATTTACATAATATTTTAATTATTATACTTGAAAAAAAGAAGAAAAAAATTTAAAAACTAAATATGAAAACTTTTATTTTGAACGTTAAATTTTGGGACAAGTTTATCATGGTTTCTATGCGCTCCATATGTTTGGCACCGGATTTACATCTCGATAAAATCTTTTGATAGGATAAGAAATAAAAAAAATATAGAAAACAAACGAAAGACTGGAAATGATTAGATTTTTATATATACTTTTTTAACAGTTTCTTTTGAATATCTACCTACCTATTCACTTATAATGTACATACATAAGTGATTAGTGTTGTTAAACGGTTCACTTTGAGCCAATTTTTAAAAACGGTTAACTCAATACTATAGCCAAGAAAGATATTGTCTGAACCCGCCAGATTTCGATAATATATGTCTAGGATCTTTGTTCCTTCTATAAGCAAAATTCTTCAGGACTTGCGTAATATTTTTCTTGGGTGAAGATATTGAGTCAGCCATTTTTCGGCACAAAACGAGTCTTTTAACAACACTAAATTTAAGCATGAATTTTTGTACCTCTTTAACATTTAAAAAGTAAATTTATTCCCATAAAATATATATATTTTAGCGTCAATATGTTTTTCCAGCAATCTGTTATATTTTTTCGACTTTAAACCATTTTTTTGAGCGTGTTTTTTTAAAATTTCCATCATGTTTAGGAAGGCCTAACCCTATGAATTTAGTACAATGTTTCAATGAAATTTAAATTTTAAAACTTAATTTAATTTATATTAGATTTTAATAATGTATATTTTAATTTAAATTATAAATGATTCAAAGGTTACCGCAAAATTGTTTCATAGAGTTAGGTATTCCATACGTGGATGGAATATACATTTCCGGTATAAAACAGTTTTTTTTTAAATTTTTTAAAACGCGATTTTGAAAATAACGTATTGCTGCGTAAAAAACTCATTGACGCTAACCAGGTATCTAGATTCTTATCTAGATATAAAAATGTTGTATTTGTATATATATATATAGATTTTTGATTAAAATATCGATACCTAAATATTATTTTAGACGATGTATCTGTATCTAGATCCATTTAAAAAGTATCTTTTAACAACTCTGATATATATGTATATATATTATAAAAGACCAAAGGTGAAGATCAAATTGTTTCAAATGAATAAGGTTAAGATAACAACTCAATTAAAGGGATGTTCATTCTGAAAGAGGTTTTTTCAATTCGATGAAGTATATTCAAAATTAAAGGAGTATCTCTTTCTGAAGTAAATTGTAAAATTAAAAATTAAGGTTTAATTATTGAGTAAGAGAGAGGTGGGCAGAATTTATTAACGGGTGTCTTTTTAAATAAAAATCGAATCATTTTCGTCAATAATCCTATCAAATCTGACAGATCACGTGATTATAAATAGCTAGATTGAAATTTTTAATAAATCAGCTGTTGTTAACAGCCAATTTTCCTCGAGTCGGACCATAATCAAGTATTCTAGTTACGGTAAAATTATACATTCGCGTTTCAAAAAAAAACGCCCTCTCAATAATTTAAAGTTCCGAATAAAAACGCTTTCTTAAAACTCTCGATTACGGGCGGAAAAATTTAACGTACATTATAAATAAAACGTAACGCGATTTGAGCGGATAGATGTTCCTCGGTGTCGGGTTCCCTCATATCCGCAATCGATTTAATCAACGTAGGTAAATGCGATATTTTTTGAATAGGTAATGTTAGAAAAGTATACATCGAGACACCCTGACAAATGGCATCGTTTTCCAATTCCTTGAGGATCTTGGTGAATCGGGAATTATTTTTCCTAGATATTTAATGCAATTTTAAATCCAAAAAAATTTGTTAGCGAATTAAATATTGAGGGCCAAATATTTTAGTTTCGTAAATGATAATAATAATATAATATTAAATACTAGTTTGCAGAGTTGTTAAAGGATCTAGTATCTAGAAGATATAAAAATGTGGTATCTGTATCTGTATCTAGATAGATTTTTGATTAAAATATCGGTATCTAGATATTATTTTAGACGATGTATCTGTATCTAGATCCATTTAAAAAGTATCTTTTAACAACTCTGCTAGTTTGGCATCTACCAACGAGAGTTATGAAGATATCATTTTATTCAAAGTTCATGGGTATAAAATATTTTTTACTAACTTTAGAAAATTGAGAACTTTATATTGGTGAGTTTGGTTTGAGCAATATTTAATGTAAGCTTCGAAGCCAGATTCGCCATTTTGGCAGTGCTGGATGATTAAATCGCAGATATCGTCAACTATCGGTCCTTGTTGTAACCATCGTTCGGTCAATGCGCGGACGAAACTGAAAGATTAAAATTAATATAAAACTTTTAATAATTGTTTCTCATCCCCGAATTAATGGTGATCGCGAATCGCGACACGTAGTTAATTGACGTTAACGGTGTTATTCGGGGTCAACGATGCTGACGCTAAACCAAAAACTCTTTTGAATCCTCCAAAAAAAATGTTTTATTTATTTTATATATATTATCAAATTGTTCCGAAATTTTAGAAGAAGTATTCTACTTGTATTTGGCAAAATGAGATATTTAAATATTTTAAAAAAAAACACTCAATGAATTTATTTCACTATCGCTATTTGACAACTTTCCCGCGTTTTCCTTCGCATTTTATCGATAACGCCAAAAATGTCTTCCGGTTTGTCAAGACTGCAACAGAAATTTTTTTTTCACCTTAAAAGAGGGGAGGGGAGGGGGGGGGTGGAAGGGAACAATTCGACGTTATTAAGAAGAAGGAAAGAAATTAAATATCTTGATCATATTTTTCTCATATTTCTAATAATACTAAGTTCGACATTTGTTAAAATGGAATTCGTGATTAAGCCGGCCAAACATATAAATCAGGTGATTATTAATAAATGGCCGTAAATTATTTTATACCTAACAAGGAAAATATATTTATTTTTTTCATCGGCACTCGTTTTGAGTTGAGGTTAAGATTTTTTTTGAGCTAGAAACATGTGGTTAGACTAAGCTCTGAATTTCCTGCATTTTGAGCCCAAAATACTGACTCTAGTTTATGCATCACAGACCTGATATTTGTAATTATGTAATAAAATTCAATCTTATAACCACCTGGATTTTATATCTTATATATTTCATATTATAAATTAACAAGTGAGGGAATAGGGAATGAATAATAATTATTATGACTTTTCACTGGATCCTCTGATAGCTTTGATGTTGGAAAAAAGGTAATGTTTATCTTGAATACTCAATGCTGGATGTTCTCCATTTGTATCAAAATCAAGGCAATTACAAAAATGTTCCACTAAGATATTCAATTTTTTCAAATACGACTTCTCCGACACCAATAGTTCGTAGAATACCTATGTTGTTATAATATAATTTATTAACGTGATCATTGGAACAATCATTATTTACTTCTTGTAATCTTATTTTTTGGTGAGGCATTTTAGGCAATAAATGCCTATCATAAACCTAAATATAAAAAAAATAAAGACGTAACGTATGATTAGATTATACAGATAGATATATGCTTCAAAAAATAAATAATTTATCATTTGATATAATAATTACCTGATGTAATTTGGGCCAGTAGATATTATTACTATGATCATATTTATCTTCCAATAATCTCCCGTCAATCATATTAGATCTGCAGATGTCACTTTTATGTTTTTTAGTTATTTGTTGATTTTTATTTATAGTTGACATATGGATAGAAGAAAGATATGCGGGATGTATATATGGCGCCCTTCCTGTTCCGTAAATAGGGTAATCTATATCATTCGCGTTAATTATTCTATTAGGATCATCGCCAGTCAGTGATACATCGAATACGGATAGACGCCTGTTATCCTTGTTACTTTGTCTGAGAGTTAGAAACTTTTTGATGCCTTTCTTGTTCATTTTATTCTGGGCAACCTTAAGGGATTCTTGGTAGACTCGACGGGCCTTTATACTGGAGGCTAGTTCCGACAGTTTATCCTGGATAGACATTTGGTCAATCTCCTTATTTTTATGATAATTGGAGGCGAGCGCGTAATACTTTATTTCGTCGTCTTTGTCGACATTGTCTCCCGAAACGTCCCAATATGGAGATAGGGAGTAACCTTTATCGCCCCTGATAATTTCGTTGAGTACCGAACCGAACGATGTATTTAGTATATTATTTGTAGGAGTCGATAATTTAGAAAACCCGATATTGATGTCGTGAACACTCAAACTTCGGTTCTTGCTAGAAAGCGATTGGCTCACTTGGGAATTACGAAGTGACAAACTTTCGTACTAAATACAAAAAAAAAATTAAATAAAGGTATACATATATTTTATTTTTAAACTTCTGAGATAGTGGAAGAAAACGCATTTCTAGCATCCATCCCATTCATGTAGGAGTCCAATTGTGATACATTTTTATAATTCGCGTTCTCTTGTTTATCCTTCGTATATCTTCGAACCTTTGTTCTAACCCTTGGCGCTACTTCGTACTGTGATTCTTTAGAATTTTCTGCCGAGGTGCTAAAAGAAGCGTTATCATGCGGCAGACCAGAATTATTTCCAGAGGAGTTCTTCTTGTCCTTGAGCAGGGTACAAATTTCTGTCATCGTATTTCCTGGATTGCAACTATTCGCGTTTCTATTTGCGTGGTATCTTTTATGTTCGCAGATTCTCCCATTATTTTGCAAGGAGTTCGAATTGGAAGAAGAATTTGTGTCCGACAATTCGGATATGGCGGAATCCTTTTCCACATCTTTTTGGCGAGAATCGGGTGAAGAGGAACTCGTAGATTTGTCATTTAAGATGAAGGGATTAGCGGAATATCGATCTTTCTCGCCTAACATCGAGACTCGGTTAAATTGATTCTCAGGTTCTCTATAATCATCATTACGCATATCATTCCTGTTGACTAGAATTCCCACGTTATCGTGATTGGGAGGATCTGTAGGAAGGATCACACTGTTAGGACGCTCATAATTTTTTTGGCGCTTTTCGACGGAATCGTTGAGACTATTTGGCTCATAATATTGTTGCATTTTTTGGGCCCGTCTAGTGCAGTCCTTCTCCTTCGCTACCGTAAAATCGTCTTCCTTTTTAAACCTATCGCTTTTATCGCCGCTTTCGAAGTTGGAACCATCGTTTCTAAAAATTATATTTACAAAAAAAAGAGAATTAGCAGCATCAAGACCAGTAGTTATTATTTTTTTTTAAAAAAATTAAATTAACGCACTCCATTTTGCGATCAAAATAATGGTCCGAATTGAATTGCAAAATGGCAAATATTTAAATTAGATGATACGTGTAATAATACGGAAATTCATCTATATGAACTAGAGGTAGGCGTGGGCCCTAACTTTTTATTCGCGGCCCGCTCACCCACGGTGGCGATAAAAAAAATTTTTACGCCATTTCGCGTATACTACTTAATTTAACCCGACCCGCCTCTCGCGTAGGACAATTTTTTGAATTACGCCAGTCACGCCCGAAAATTCGAGGTGTTTTTGAAATTTTGCTTTTAATTTTTATTTTTAAAAAAAACGAAGAATTGTCCGCGTTGTATTTATTTCGATTACGTACGCCTTTCCTCTAATAGGCGACTGGCTATAGAAAATAACCTGTCGCTAGAAGCAGAACTTGCCGGGGCTGATTGATGGAAAGCCTCGGTCGGCAAGAGCGTCAATCCGATGGTTGTGGGTTCGAATCCCAGCAATGATCATGTTTTTTTTTCTCAATCAACTTGGTGATTCCGTCCTTGGGGGGATGATATATAGGAGGCCGGCCTTTACCACGTGATTTCGTTATAATATATGTTAAATAATAAGGGTCTTGTTTTAATAAATTTTGGTCGGTATTTAGCAAATTTGGTTAGTATATAGAAAATTGCTATACGCTGACTTGGTAGTGATTATCATTAACCTGAATCTTTTAAGTTCGTCTGCATACCTGTAATCGATAGCTGTTGATGCTTCATCAAAATCATCTAGAAATTCTCAAAAAATTTTATTTAGAATTCCCGGAATTTTATGTGCGCAGTGCAAAAATAAGGAAAGTTATAAATGATAGTTGGCATTGACCTTATGGATACCATCTAATTTTTATATCATTTCGCATTTTTGAGGTTGTTATATATATATATATATATATATATATCTTTTTCGTCTATTAAAATTTTGAGACTCTCGAAATTCGGATGTAGTGTAGTGGCTGCATAATAAATCTTTCCTTTAAAGAAATATTGTACTGTATATTTAGGTTTTTTTTTATTATTATTGCATCGCCTTCAGAAAGGTTGACAATATTAAATTAATTTTGGTTTTCCATAGATAGATCTTCATTTATCGTGGAACTAGAATCTGCGCTCAGATTAACCCGAGCATTCCTAGAATAATATTTAAATTAAATTTATTTAATGCCAAATTTTTCCAATTGGCTAAATAGAGAGTTAGTTGTGAGATTTATTATTTTTCATTCAATCGAAATTTTTATGAGACGAATGAAACTGCGGAAGTTATTTATTTGTTTTCAAAAAATTAATAACATTACTTTAAAAATAAACTAAATTAAATTAGAAAATATATATTATATATTTATAATTATTGGCCAAAAATTTATGTTCACGCCCAATCACGTGCGGCAAAAATTTATGTTCACGCCCAATCACGTGCGGCAAAAATTTTGGAAAGGCTCGTTACGCCCAATCAGGCCTAATAATTTTAAATTTATTCGTACTCACGCCGTGATCCGTCGTGACCCATTGCATCACGCGTAATTTTCACGGCGCCCACCTCTAATAATGAACCATGTGTTTTCAAATAATAAATTTTTGAAATCAAAATTTGATAGAGTAATAACAAAAATAAAGAGAATGTATTCATACGTTGTCGGATTGGCCAATGGCGAAGATTGATAATAAGACACGTGATCTTTTAAAAAATTATTAATATATATTATCTTAAAAAAAAAACATTTAATATCAGCTTGATTCCATTAACTTAAGTTAAATTTTATGAATCCAAAAAAAAAAAACTTTAATTTTATCTTATATTCTTAATTTTGAGGGCGTATATTTTTTAATGTATATGGCAGCGCGGACTCTAAGGGGAAATGAGTCGCAGTATACCCTTGAAAGGTTTCTAGAATCTCCTATCGAAGCAATAAATTCTGATTATTTACGTGATTCCCTAGAAAAAATTTCTAAATCAAACCTATCCCATTAAAGATAAATTTTCGACTATATACAACTTCTTAATGAAATTTATGGCATAATTTTCTAGATTTTTTTGAAATAGTGAGATCTCTCTTTTCAAATTTAAAAGGTTAAGCGGCGCCATTATTGGCTATTGTCGGGTTGGCATTTAAGGGACAGTATAAAAAAAATAGTTCGATCTTTGAATTTGTAAAGACTAATATATAAATATAAGCTGTTATAACTATGATTTCAGGGTGACAAAATTGATTATTAAGAGTTTTATTAAATTTTAGTCTTTAGTTTCATCCGTGTGTATCAAGTCCGCCTGATTAGCTGGTGAACATCTGCGATTTAATCAACAAACGCTTCCAAAATGGCGAATCTGGCTTCGAGGCCTACATTAAATATTGCTCAAACCAAACTCACCCAATATAAAGCTCTAAATTTTTGTAAAGTTAGTTGCCCATAAACACTCGTTGGTAAGATGCCTAAAAACTGGTTTTCTAATATTTATTAATATTACCAATTATGTAATATGAAGGAAAACAAATTTAAAATGGCGTTGTCTGTCACCTGTTTTGGCGACATTTTCGTAGTTGTCGATGGGAACCGTCATGGAGAGCAGGATCATTTAGACGTTGATAATTTTCGATTATATAATCGCGGAACTGTTCATAATTTTCGTAATACGGGGGAGACATAAACAGCTGATATTTGGGTTGACCGGTCATCGTGTATTCGTCATTTTTGGTGGTACTATCGATAAAATTAAAACTACCACGCACTGGAGATATGATGCTAGGAGTTTCCGGTTTGGCGAGATTCTTAAGATGGAGAGATTTCAATTGGGTCGAATCGGGCAGCGCCGGCTTAGCGTCATCATCTAAACAATTAGCGCTTTGGGCTCGGCTCAACTTACTATACCCGTTTATTTTACTTCGGGCTATCATATCGAGATTCAGGGAATTCGGCGTGAAAAAATGGGTGTTGATATCGCATATTGAATTCGACACGTTATCGCGAACAACTTTATTCGGGTTTTTTCGGTAACGATGGGCGAAGGTGCAATGAGTCACGTGGTTATATTCTTTATTGTGACCAATCATATTATTGTTTATATTAGAAATCGATGAGTGATGCCGCAGAGGCTTGAAATTGAACTTGTCTTCGAAATTATCGAAGGAATGGTGATTGGTTTGAAGGGTTAAATTATCCATCTTTTTAGCGGATTTCTTAGCTATGAAAGCCTCGAAAAATGATTTGGATTTAATCTTGGTGTCACGGGTGTTGTTATGTGCTACATTATTTTTCGAATCGTTTAAACATATGTAATCGGAATATATGGAAGACTGCGCCATTCGCGTGTCGTAGATGCCTTCATGTGGAATGATGGATGGGGTGTTTAATAAATTTCTAGCGTTGTCGGTTGAATCAGGAATTTTGAAGGACTCCATTTTAGTTCCTGGAGTCATCATCGAGCCAGAATTTTTTATGTCGCTTTCTTGGGAGGGTGTCTTAGCATTAGAAGAAAAATTTGTTACCTTGTTCTCGAACAAGGCTATCAATTCTTGGTTCAGGTATTTTCTTTTGGAACCTAAGTCATTTTGTGTTTCACATTTTTACGAATAAGGCATTAATTGACAATATTTGACTATAATTGACAATAAACAATATTTGACAATTGACATAATTATATTTTTAAAGAAAAATTCCCTGCGAAAAAAAATTTTGAAAAATAATTACTTTTGATATTGATAGATTCCGGGTTTTCGTGCATATCGCCATTATTCATCCTTCCTGGATTTTTGGATCTCAAAGTCAGGGACGAGAAGAAATTGCTCAAATTGCTTTTATCGCTCTTGAGTCTAACGGAGTAGTTAGAAGGGTTTTGAGAATGGGCAAATGTTGCCCTGCCCGGGCTTTCAGATTTCGTCGTATTTTTACCGCCGTTCTTTGTTTGGAGAGAATCATCGTTCTCGCGTTCGAGCTCTAAACCATTGATCACCCTATCAGAATGATCATCCACCTTCCCACCGATTGTATCGATATTTGTAACTCGAGCTTCAAATTTCGCGGTATTTCTTACGCGTTTCTTATTCGGTCGTTGATTTTGGTTGAAGGGGGCCTCATCGTGGCCTTCGTTCCTATCTTCTTCCTCCTCCCAATCGGTTTGCCAGCTGGCATCCGTATCAGAATTATGATTAGATGACTTTAAAAAAAATATATATACACATATATATATATTAGGGAAAAGATTTTATTTTGAAAATCAAAAAAAAATGTGTTTACATTAATTATTAACTATGAAAATTGAATAAGGTGTCCTATATATCATCATAGGACTTTTAGGTTTTATAAATTATGTAGTAATAAAAAAAAAATAATACTTATGAAGCTCAAATGTAAACCTAAATAATAAATCCCTCTCTTTGTGTAATTAAAATTTTATATAATAAAAAATTATTTTTAGACAATGATTATAATATGTTCCATAAATCTATTATAATATTTATAATATTCAAGCATATTAGTTACATTTTAAAAGACATCTCTATAAGCTAAAAAAAAATTGAAAAAAAAACTTCTATATATTTTTAACATTACGTTGAAGTTAGATTGAAAACTAGATTTTAAATAAATGCTTATATCAAATATATATAATAAAAAAATTCCAATTTGTGGAAGAACCCTAAATATTTAGATTATTGTTTTAATGAGTTGACCTGGAACTACCACGTTTTATATAATATATAAATTTTTGATAAATAAGACTCAATATTAGTTCGAATATATTAAAATTGTTTATTTTAGTTATAATTTAATCTCTTTTTTTTAAAAAAGCATTTATTCAAATACATAATCTTTCTTTCTTTCTTACTTTAATCAAAAGCTATTTTAATTACTATTTTATTTGATACCCACATGTCAAATTTTAATTTTTTAATCCCCGAAAAGAAAGAAAGAAAGAAAGAAAGAAAGAAAGCTTTCTAAGAACATTTAAAATTTTTCCTGGTTCATAGTTAAATAAAACTTAGTATAAATAAATGTATACCTTTTCGTTAAGTTGAATATCGTTAGAATATAATGAGTCTTTGGACGCATTATTTTTGTCGACGTTTTTACGGTCGATAAAATTTCCGTTATCCTCTATGCCGAAATTTACTTTAATCTCGTGAGTGCTCATACTTTTACGGTTGGGAACGTGATGGCGTAGAGGAAATATTAGAGTCTGCCCTGCAACATTCCTGTTGTGATATAAAGGATTATTTATATACAAATGATTTTTTTTCTCTAATGACACTTTGTTTTTCTAGACAGTTCGATCCCGTGATTTACTTGATAACGGGCGACATTTGCTCACATTATTGAATTTATTTCATTTTAAAATATTCGTTTCCCTAGAATTGGCGCTGAAGACTCTCGAAATGAGTCTTAACATAAGCGCCATTTTTTTTTAAAATGAGGGTTAGAAGAATTTGTAGAGGAGTCAGGGAATCATATTTAAGGTTTTGATTCCCTTATATCTTCGACATTCAATTTAAACGTTATCATTAAATAAATAATTGATAATGAATAATAAATTTCCCATAGTTCGCCCCAAAAAAAAATATCGCTATTCACGGATGCCTAAGTAAGAAAATATAGATTAAAGATGAATATGGATATTATTTAATATTTATAAATACCCAAATGAGTGTTGTTAAACAGCTGTAACTCAGTATTTTATCCAGAATAATATTAGGGCAAGCTTGAAGATTTCGCTCGTAGAAAGAATAAAAGTTTAGACATATATTATCAAAATCTTCTTTAGGCTTGAGCAATATTTTTCTGGCTAAAATACTGAGTTAGCCGTTGAAAAATCGGCTCAAAACGAGCCGTTTAACAGCACTACCAAAATGAATTATTTTAAATGACTTAAATATTTTTCGATGTTAACCATTTTATATATATATATATATATATTTTTTTTTGGATAATATGGATATATAGTATATACTCCCAACGGCACCCTTCTATATTTTAGTGCGCGGAATTTGAACGTTTCAACACAGCGTTTCATAAAACGCGAATATAAAAAACGTAAACGCAGCTATGTTTAAATTTGAACCTTTAATTTATATATATTTTTTTTAAAAAAAATATAAAATGGTCTAAATTTAAAACAAAATAAAAAAAATGCTGTCCAATTTTAAACGAATGTATGCATTTAAGATGCATTATTTGTAGTTTTGCTAAACGGCTAACTCGATATTTTAGCCAGAAAAATATTGTCTAAGCCTCAAGATTTGTCTAGACATTTGTTTCTTCTATGAGCAAAATCTTCAGGCTTGGGTAATAATTTTCTGGAGAAGTATTCAAACAGCCGTTTTTAAAAAATCGCCTCAAACGAGCCGTTTAACAACACTAATTATTAGCGTTTTGAAACGCTGCGTTGAAAGGTTCTGTGGCGAACTATAAGGAAAGAGACAGTTTTTATTTCTAACTACACAAAATTTAGGAGAAGCTTTCGAAGAAACAATATGGCTGCCCCCTACTCTAAGATAGCTTAATTTTGGTTGCGATAAAAAAATAGAATTTTAAAATATGGTAGAATATCGCGATAGCGAATGTCGCCACGAATTAAGTTTCATCTAATGATATATAATAATACGACTGACGTTGCATTAGTAATAATGCATTTGAAGCGTCGTTGAATGCAAATCAGCTGGACCCGTCATTGTAATCCATATGGTAATCTCAGGTTACAAAACTATCATTAAATTCACTTGCTTCCTTGTTATCTCGATGATCAGACAATTCTTTAATAATAAAGTTTGCGTTCAGACATAGGAATTCTCTCGGTTAAGATTTTCAAATAATGATTTGGGCAAACAAAATGGCGTCACCAGCTGTTTTTCATTGATGTGCATTTTTAATGAATGCATCGTCAGTCAAGGTATTATTATTATGTCATTGGTTTTATAACGATAAAATGGCGGTATTCAGGTCTAATATGCATTGTATATTATTTTTTTATGTCAGATCATTTGTCACCAACCACAACAATTTAATAACGAATGAGGTCAAGGACCTTTTCACCATTCATTCATTTATAATGAATATATGTATAATAATGTTATTTCTACTTATTTTATTTTAAAATGCTTATAAAAAAAACAACCGGTATAAATTATAAAAAACCAAAAAAACTTTTGTTTTAATTGTCAATTATTATTTATCGATATTTGAAATCATGCATAATATGTTTCGTAATACAATCAATTTTATGCGCACAAAACGAACAAAAGAACTTTCCTTATAATAAAGAAAATTCAAAAAAAATTATTATTTTTTTCCACGTAATTTTCACTTAATGAGAGGGAACGCTCTGATACTTTTTCTCTCCTCTTTTCCATTCCATCAACAAAAACCTTTTTTTTTCCTTTCAATGACTGTTATATTCTTTGGATAATTATTATATTATATTAACTAACACAATTAATTTATTATTATAATTATAATGCTTTGCAAATTGTATTTTTTTGAAAGTTGGTAAGTTGTTAATTTGATTTTTTTTTAATATTATATATTTTTAATTTTAAATTTTCTTTTTATTTAAAAAGCCGAATTGAAATTGCAAGGAATAATATCTCTATCTTCCTCTAGTTAAAAAAAAAATAAAATTATAGCGTGAATTTGTTCGAACTTTTCCGTCACCTTTTCAAAGGCGTGTAAAATAAAAAGATTTATAGTTGCTAAAGGGATTCCTTTAACCTCCCCTCCCCCTTTTTTATTGGTTAGAAACGAAAACATTTATAAGTATAATGTAGTTTATCATTCAGCGCATGCCCGTGAATACTTATTATTATAATTGAAAAAAAAAATAAATAAAAATTATAAATAACTGATTAATTATCACGGAGGAAAATTGGTATTTGTTGGTTTTAAATCGGCAAAAGGTATAAAAGAAATTAACCGAAACGAATACTCCTTTATGTCAATTGACATGTGACAATCGTAAATTAAGTTATATATTATAATATTTCTGTTTTTTTTTAACTTATGATTATCTTACATATTGATGGATTTATTGATGCCGTCTCCTATGTATTCAATAAAACTTTTGATTCGGGTAGTGTCCTTGGGTAAGAGGGCCGAAAATCGTTTTCCGAATTTATTGTCCCATATGGAATTACTCATAGTTGTAGTACTGTCAGATTTTTGTTGCTCGTCTTGTTGGTTAGGAGAAGCATTCTTGATTCTCAGGATGTTATCTAGAATAAATAGAGTAATTGAATATTTCGCCATCACATGTTCCTGATAGTGTTGTTAAACGGCTCTTTTTTGAGCCCATTTTTAAAAACGTCTGACTCAATATTTCATCCAGAAAAATATTACGCAAACCTGAAGATTTTGCTCATAGAAAGAAACAAAGGTTTATAGTGCGCACAAATTGAGCGTTTACGTTTAGCTGTAATTTTTAAATAAAAGAAAACGTAACGCGTCCTTCGTTTAAATTTGAGGTTATCTTTTTATTCATATCCGTCTATTCAAAATTTTAAATAAGTTCTAAAAAAAGGATTTGTCTTTGAAAATTATATTATCGTCTGCGTTCTTATTTCTTTAATTTCTAAATATTCCTTTTTTTGAGGGTAATAAGTAAGTTATTTATATTACATTTTATATAATATTACAAAACAAAGATTAGAAAAAGTATTGAAAAAGCAAACTTGTTTGCGTTTTTTTTTGATAACGCCAAACGGTAATTTTACCAATTTACACGAGACCATTTGAAAGGCATTATTGGCACTCGCAACGCAGCGTTTGAAAGGCTCAATTTGTTCACACTATTAGACACGAGGTGCCATTGGTACGGCCGGTCGCGGTTTTTTCTTTCAAAAATTTTTTCCGGCCGGCCCGGGTTTTTGAAAAAAAATTTTAAGGCCCTGACCGGATATCTTTTTTAAAAAATATTTTCAGGCTCGGTCCGGGTAAATTTAAAAAAAATTAAAATACGGCCCGGCCCGGTATCATTTTCGGTTACCAGTTTTTCGTGAAGATAAAAAAAAAAATTTCTAAAGATCCTATCTTGTTTCATCAAATTTTTTTCGATAAGGATTAGTGTTTTTTTAACGGACTCGACATTTTAAAAAACCGTTAACCCGATATCTTATACCAAAAAAAAATATTACGACGCGATCTTGGAGATTTTGCTGAGAGGGGGGGGGGGGGCTGAATGATTTGTACAACTATTATGGAAATATGGGAATTGGCTATAAATAGAGACCTTTAACAACACTGATAAGAAATGAGACTCGTGCTGAAAGTTAGCGATAACAAAATAAACAATTTTTTTGTGGAAGAAGATGGGATGACAATAGAAACTAGGAAATGTAATACCACAGTTCTGCCTACTATTTTTTTTTAAGATATTTTTTTTTTAGCAGAGTATAGCTGGAAAATCCATTAGCGTCTTCTACATGTCATTTAACCATATTAGAACCGAAGTTACCATATAATCGATAAAATACATGTGGCGTTTCCAATCCTCCAATTTTTGAATGTTCCATCTTAATAAGAAGGCAATATATGATTATATCCTAATCTATTATATCATTAGTAAAGTCAACGTAGTAAAAAAGGGAGATTATCAGGCTGAGCCTATTTAAACATGTATATATAATATATATTTTATGATGAAAATAAAAATTGATGTTTTTGCTAAAATTCTTTAATAATTATGTGAAAAAGTGGCCATAAATATTATAAATTAAAGTATTTAGCGTTAACCGTAAGAAGCAATAAAAATATAATAAACCTGACAATATTTCGATAAGGATAATATTATTTATTTAATATACATCCGTTTTTTTTAGAGGAAGGTTAATAAAAATATTATTTGAAAGATATTTTTTTTAAAAAAAGGTTAAAATTTCAAATTTCGAAGAAAAAAAAATTGTGAAATTTTATTCCAAATACACTAATTTTTGATAAATTTCTCAAACCTTGATAGCCAGGGCAAAAGAACCGTTAAAATCACAACAGTTATAGCGGTAATGGGAGGACGGGGCATGCTGGCCACGCCAATGTTATCAGGGGGATAAAATACAAATTAAATGTTTAACCTTCACTTCACCTTATTTATTGAATGGATTTCTTTTCTTTCTTTCGAAAATATTCTGTTGTTTTTCTTTTTATAAAGTAAAATGGACGTCGGCGTAGCCCGCCGACACTAAAAAATTTTCTAGAAAAAGCTTACGATTCAAGCAAATTTATTTCATTTTCCTACAAAAAAAAAATTACTAATGGCCGAGCCGGACATTTTGTATAATTTATTGATACGAATTATGTATCTGCTCAGAGTAGCAATGATATATAATAATATTTAGACTTAAGCGTCGTTTGAATGCAAATCAGCTGGATCCGCCATTTTAGTAACTGATATAGTACTTATTCTCGTGTTTATAAACTACTATATAATTTGAAATTTTTTTTAAAATTAAAACAACAAATATATTATTATCCTTAAGATCCAGATTGATGTTATTTGAAAATATGTTATTATTTCAAAAAAGAATGGGCAACCAAAATGGCGTCCCCAGCTGTTTTCCATAGGTGTACACTTTTAATGCATGCATCGTCAATCATGTCATTCCAAAAGTGGAAATAAAAATGGTTTGATCGCATAAATACGATTTTGGTGACATACTTGACAGACATAACATAATGTTTAAACAAACTTTCGTTATTTTTGGAAAATCTAAAATCCCGCTTTTCGCGGGGTTTCAAATACACACAATATGATCTATTTAAATAATATTAATTAAATATTAGTTCCACACTATATAAGAGACCAGCTGGCCCCGGACCAAAATTCCGTAAATTTGAAGAAAAGATAGAAAACATTATTAATTAACTAAATATAATTTAAATGTAAGGGAAACCCGGGGCACCTTGAGTACAGGGTCCCATTATAAAGACTAAAAAAATTTAAGCCTAATATAAATAATTACGTATTACATGATTGGCCGGAAAAAAGATTTAAATTTTAGGGAAATTTTAAAATCCTCTCTCTTAATCCGACAATTTTCCCAGTATCTTATATGAATTAATTTGTTTATTCTGAATGATCTTTATAGAGATTTATGGGCCAGGTGGTTGGTCATGGGATATTTGGCCCAACTAATTATTGCATTTTTTTTAATTTTTATTAAAATCAAATAAATTATCGATGTTGTTTATCATTTCCAATATAATATGCCTATAAATATCATAACATTATCAAAAAAAAATAAAAAATAAAAATTAATTTTATATTTAGACCTCTATTTTATGGGTAGACCAATTATCACATATAGGTAGTTTTTGAGCCGATTTTTTTAAAACGGCTAACTCAATACTTCATCCATAAAAATATTTAAGGCAAGCCTTTTCTTTCTTTTTTTCTTTCAAGAGAAGAGAGAGAAGAGAAGAGAAGAGAAGAGAAGAGGAAGAGAAGAGAAGAGAAGAGAAGAGAAGAGAAGAGAAGAGAAGAGAAGAGAAGAGAAGAGAAGAGAAGAGAAGAGAAGAGAAGAGAAGAGAAGAGAAGAGAAAGAGAAGAGAAGAGAAGAGAAGAGAAGAGAAGAGAAGAGAAGAGAAGAGAAGAGAAGAGAAAGAAAGAAAGAAAGAAAGAAAGAAAGAAAGAAAGAAAGAAAGAAAGAAAGAAAGAAAGAAAGAAAGAAAGAAAGAAAGAAAGAAAGAAAGAAAGAAAGAAAGAAAGAAAGAAAGAAAGAAAGAAAGAAAGAAAGAAAGAAAGAAAGAAAGAAAGAAAGAAAGAAAGAAAGAAAGAAAGAAAGAAAGAAAGAAAGAAAGAAAGAAAGAAAGTAAGAAAGAAAGAAAGAAAGAAAGAAAGAAAGAAAAGAAGGAACAAAGGTCTAGACATATATCATCGAAATCTCGAGGCTTAGGCAATGATTTTTCTGGCTTAAATATCGAGTTAGCCGCCGTTTAACAACACTATTTGAAGCCCTATGCTCTGTTAAAACAAAATCACCTTTAATTGAACATGAGCTAATGGTAGTGAGCATCGAATTTAAATGGTTAAAATTACTTTAATCATTAGTGCAATATAATTATTTATTTATTTTTTTAACTTTCACGTAAAATCTCTTGAGATTCAATACAGTAAATTGGACTTCTAATAAAGTTGATTAACGACAAAGAATTAATTAATTTTAAAATTTAATTTTTTTTTAAGAAACCATAAATGCTGCCAATTTTATATTTTTGAAAGGAATTAAAATACTAAAAATTTCTGGGGTAAATTTGAGCCTTATAAATACGATTATAAAAGGTACACAAAAATATGGGATAATAAATATTAGGAAAAAGGATAGAGGGTGTATATTTTATTACCTAAAACTAATTATTCAATTCGATTCAATTTTATTTGACTCATACCTTACGAATAGTAATAACGGTTATTCGAATTAGAATACCAATAAGGAAAAAATGTTATCTGTCGAAATAATGATCTATTCGATTATTCGAAATTGTTTGTATAATTACAAATTATTCGTAAATGCTTAAAAATGTTTATAAATTATTTGAAATTATTCTTATGGAGGGGGAGACCAGGGGTGGTAGAGACACTTGACGTTCAAACCTGAATAAATTCAATAATATTAGAATTATGACTGAATAAATTCCTTGTATAGGCTATATGAAATATTTTTTATATATATTCTATGAAAAACTATACCTTTTTTAGAAAATTTAATCTGAAAATAACATTCTAATTTGTTATGGATTTTTACTTTAAAACTTTACACTTGAAAAATTTACTAATTTTATTTTAGATCTTTTATTCATGGATTATTATGCATATTACAAAAAGTTTTAATAAGAAACTAAAAACTACACAGTAAAAACAAGATCTTTAAACCAATAATAGTATCGATAAAGATTTTATACGATTTCAGAATTAATAAAAAAAATATTGATTATTAAAAATAAACCTTTATTGGTAATCGGAGATCCAATCATTTCCTGAAACTTTTGAGGAGAAGATGTGAAATCACCCCACGAATCGAGTGAAGTAATCAGGTATTTTTCTCGGCCTTCACTGTCGCATTCGTAATCGGTATATCCTGCATTTTGATCTGGATTTGTCTCCTCAACATTAACTACCCGCCGATGGGGGTTGGAATTTTTTTCTGGGAAATGGGGAAATACTACCATTTCGTTCTTGCAGTCACCGGATTTGAAATGAGCCGGGCTGGTTTTATTCATCGCGCTTGCAGCACTGCGCAACTCGCGAGCCCGTATGGGGGAGATGGCGTGAGAGTCCTTACATAAAACTATGAAATCGTCATCGTGGTTGTTTCCGTTGTCCTTGTCATCGGGTTTGCCGTAGTTGAACACGCTTTGGCCTAGCGTTTTTTTCACGAATTGAGATAGGTTAGAATAATTTTGGCTAATTCTTCTAGACTTCAGCTCTGGTATTGGGCAATCTTTAGTGGAAACGTTATAACTATTTGTTATATCTCTTAATGTTAAGCTTCCCAAGGTATTATCACTTTCTGGAGGGTCTTTATTATTTCGAGTTTTACCGTTTTCAGCTCTAGAATTATTTTCTGGCATATGGCTGGGAGCGTGAGAGAGATGTTTGGAAGGCGGCCAATTTTCGTAAATGGGAATTTTTTTTAGCGTATCAAGGGTTGAATCATCTGGTCTTTCCAAAGTTTCAATAATATTTTCGGTGGATTGCATCGTCTATTTTTTAGAAATCTAGTTATAAATTTTGAGAAAAACAACGTGATATCTCGCTTTGAATTCGAGAGCTAAATTTTTGTGTTTATTTGCATATCATCTGATGAAAAAGGAAGAAAAGGGAGGGATTGGAAAGAGGAGAAGTTTGTTCCCCTTTTCTATGCCTCGTTTAAGTCCAATGGTTTATTATCAAAATTTAATGTAATTAATGTGATAATTTTAAATATTAGATTAAAATTAAATATAAAAATTATTATTTATACAAAATTTTACGATTTTTAAAATGCAAAATAATAAAAAAAATAAATATTATGTATAAAAAATCTTTTTCATGACAATATTTATATTTACTTCAAATTAATATTATATTATTTTTAAAAAAAATTAAAAATTTTTTTATATTTTATAAAAAAAAAATGCATTTTAAAGTTCTCATTTGTCATTCGAGTGCTATACGACATTTTTTTTACCTGAAAAATATTTTATTTATTATATTTTTAATTATTTTTTAAAAATTATAAAAAAGAACTTTTAATTTATTTTTCCCTTCCCTTTTCTTAGTGCTAATTTGCTGATAAATTATTATTTTTTTTATGTGTGTTCATGAAAATTTACGTAGGAAAATAAATGATATCATTAGTTTATTTATAATAATATAAATATAAAAAAATAGAAACAAAAACGTCAAAAAAAAACAGAGTTCCAACTAAGTGTTGGTTAAACGGCGCGTTTTGAGCCGATTTTTAATAACGATTAACTCAATATTTTATCCAGAAAAATATTACGTATGTCTGAAGATTCTGTTCATAGAAGGAACAAAGTTCTAAGACATATATTATCGAAATCTCGAGACTTAGGCAATATTTTTCTGGCGAAAATATTGAGTCAGCCGTTTTTAAAACGAGCCGTTATACTAGTTCCAACAAGTATGGTGGAGTCGAAATCGTAGAGACAAATTATGATTATACTAAAAAAATTAGGAAATCATAATCGTCGGTATAGAATTGGAGTGCACAAGCTCGACATTTTCAAAATTATTGAAGTTAGAAAGTGGATAAGAACTTTATTATTTATTCCAAATATATATATATATATATAAATAAAAATTAGATTTAAAAAATATATTTAATTTTTGCCAAAGTTATCTAAGCTATGTCAAAAATTGAACTTATAAGCTTTTCCTATATTTTAATTTTATAACTTTCATGTTTGATTTTTTCTCATTTTAAAAACATTTGCGCAAGTGGAACACTCCAATTCCAGGCCGACATAGATGTTAAATAACTTATAAAATATAACGAGAACTATATTGGTCAACTCATCAAGCAATAAAGAAAGAAACTTTAAAGATGGTAAAAATTTTGATCAATGGATTATCCCGTTAACCGCCTCTTAAAAATATTATATTAGCATGAAAAACCCGTGGGGTTACATCGCAAGCGTTTTTCTTATTTGCGATGAAAAGTATTATTTTATGATATTAAGAACCAATCGTATCATTGGATTGATAGTCTTCATCATTAGACAAATAAAACTAAATAGGGGTTGGGCTTAGGGGTCTACAAATAACAAAATTTTTAGATCCGTTCAGGTGACCGGCCATCTTTTTAATTTTTTTTGTCGGTCCGGTACTAAACTAGCCTGGTACCGGGGTGGGCTTTACAGACCTCTACTATGAGCGCTATTTAGGGTTAAGTAAAAGTCGCGCTTTTTAATAATCTACCGACGATCCTGGGGTAAGATGGCGAGCGTTTCGGAGTAAAAGTAAAAGTATCAAATTTAACTCAAAAAAATTTTATCTTTACAAGACACGCATAAAATAGATAACTGTTAGCATAAATAAGTCCTTTTAGAATAATTAGTATATTTATATCTAATTTTTGGGATATTTACTGAGTGATAATATTAACTTTCAGGTAGTGTTGTTAAACGGCTCGTTTTGTGCCGGTTTTTAAGAACGGCTAACTCAATACTTTATCCATAAAAATATTATGCAAGCCTTAAAATTTTGCTCTTTGAATGATAAAAAGGTTTGAACATCTATTAAAGTAAGCCCAAGGCTTGGACAATAATTTTTCTGCTTAAAATATTGAGTTAGCCGTTTTTAAAAATCGGTTAATACAAGCCGTTTAACAACACCACTTTCAGCCCCCCCCCCAAAAAAAAAATATATTTTTACCCCTTCTCTAAAAAAATTTGTTTTATTTTAGCCTAGTAAAACCATTCCCCTACCCTGCTTCCGCTTCTAATTCCTCCTACTCCTATTTCTCATTCACTCATATTATAATCAATGACAATATTACATCGTAACCCTCCCCCCACCCCTAATGGAGGCTGTTATCATGATTAGATATTGAGTCAGCTCGAGACTTATCAGCTGTTCGATGATTTATTTTTTTCCTACATATATTAAATTAAATTTGATTAACCTCAATAATTGTCTGAAATTGGCCAATGTGGTTACTCCACAAATGCTGGAAAAAAATTTTCTCGAATCCCATTGGTTCAAATTCAAATTTAAAAAATCTATCTCGATGAATTATTTGCAATCGAGGAATTCCGAATCCCATATCCCTGCACGATACATATACATAATTTCGTTTTTCTATAATTATTTTAACTTTAAAAAAAAAAAACGTTTATAATTAAAACATTTGGTCTCTAAATTTTTAGTATAGGATATTATAGCATGAACCAATTGAGCCTTCGCGTTTTTTCTTTATTCAAAGCGCAAACAATGCGTTTCAAATGGTATCGTTTCAAAATATATGACGTTTAGTCGATTTGCTTAAAAAGACCCGTATACATACATATAACGAAATCACGTGGCCGAGTCTGATCTACCATATATCAACCCCCCCCCCTTCCATCCCTCCTCCTCCTCAAGGAATTAAAAACAACATAGTTGACTTTAGAAAGAAAAAAAATGATGCCTGCTTGATTCGTAACATGTACCATCTTGGACTTGGCACAGTACTAAAAAAAAAATTTTTTTTTAGAAGGATTAAAATTACAACGACATCTAATATTTTATTGAAACGGATAAATAATTCAATAACGTTCAAAGCTTATACATCATTTGCACTTACAAATATTTATGAAGACGCGAACGTGTTTTAACGCTCAATTAAGTCGCACTATTATTTGATCACGTCAAATCATATTTCAAAATTTTTTTTAAATAATTCCTTGGATGATTCATTTTTTGTCATTTAAAATATGACACGTGATCAAAAGGGGGAAACCAAATTTTAACTTTAAAGGTAATGACTAAATAGGAATCATATTCAGAACAACCAGGTGATCGTAGCCATTTTATCTCTAATTTTTTTTTTTTAGCATTGGTCGTAGATAAAAAAAAAGAAGTCATAACAAAAATAAAGATCAATTTATATACAAAATTTAGGAAAAATCTACTAATTTGTTTCAATATTTAGGCCACATCCCAATAGATTAAATTAAATATTATAATGGTCACAATTAATTTTTCTTTTAAAAAAAAATAATAAAATAATATACTCATTAAATAACAATTTTTTTTTTATTATATAACATAATAAATAATATATCCTATATTAAAATAAAATGTGATAAATTTTGAATAAAAATAAGAAATTTTTATAATACACACTCGCATTAAAAGGACATTTGTAAAAAAAAAATTATAAATTTAAATATGTTTTTCTCTATATAAAAAAATAAAATAAAAAAAACTAGAAATTTTTGTGAAAAATTTTTGTGCCTCTAAACGGTTTTTGCTTTTAAAGGTCGTAATACGCTTGTATTACTTTTTAATAATTAATAATAAATTAAATAATATTAAAAAAAATTTAAAAATCAAATATTGATGAAGTATTTTTTTATTAACTTGATGTGTTATTAAATTATATTAAATGAACTTGGAAAGGATATTACACCTATAATGTTATATATTGTCGTATTGGGATTATGAAATTCTTTGGGGTTCTTGGATCTCTGAATTATAAAATCATTTTACTAAAGGGCCATTTATAAATTTTGAAGATCTGAATCTTACGGGAATAGTATTTCGGCATGTATATAGAGTATACTCAAACTGTAAATTTCAACCAATTTTGCAATGAACTTTTAGAAACTACTCCTAATTTATATTAATTTTTTATATGAATTTTACATAAAAATTAAAAATAATACCAAAATGTCTCTGGGTGAATTTGACTGAAAATTTATAGGGTAAATACTCTTACATATGCTAGAATACATTTTCGGTTAAATAATATTTTAAAAAAAAATTTTTTTAAAGTGCACTCTGGTTAAAGGATTTAAAATCAAGAGATTCCGAATCCTCGCGGATTCCATATCCGGGTAAAATTGGATTTTTAATCCCAGAGAAACTAAATGAATATATATACTTGTAACTTCAAAAAAAAATGTAATCAACATTTTTTTTTTGTATTAAAAGGAAAGAGTTTATTAGGTTATAATTTCATAATTTAAAATTTTTTAAACAATAAATATTTTTTTTTTCATAACATCAAGATGTTAAAATGTATATTTTTTTGTTAACAAAAAAAAACTAAATTTATCAATTGAAAATAATTGTTATGTCTTTAAATAAATCTAAAATTCAATAATAATAATACTAATCAGTTGTCCTAATCCAGAAAGGTAGAAGAGGAATTAAAGATTTAGGTTTAGTGTCGGTGTTTTTCACTCATTTTTTTTCATATACAAATCATAAAAGTGTCGTTAAACGACTCTCTATTTTTCCTCTCAGAAAATTGATGCCAAATTCTCAAGATTTTGTGCTAACAGATGTTCAAAATTTTTGTGCCATCTGTGAGCAAAATCTTCAGGTAGCACGTAATATTTTTTTGGGGATAAAATATTGAGTTGCTCAAATCGAGCCGTTAAAAACAAATACTAGTAAATCATAGTTTGGGACAGATTAAATCATGTTTATTAATCGCACAATAAAATACTCAAATAAGTGGAATAAACGCATTAACAAAAATTTTAAAAAAGTTTGAAGCTTAAATATCGTAATATTCCCTAAAATATAGTTATTTTTTAGTTGGGCTTAAAACTGGGTTTTTTTTGTTAAATTTTTCTTTGGATTTAGTCATCGTGCAATCAAAGTTGAAGGTACGGAGAATTGATCTAAAAGAGGGATCGTGAAGAATATAAAGAAATGTATATTGCTCTCAATGATTTATAAATGCAACAAGAAATGCCAAGATTTACTCCTGTAGACTCAAAGAATCCAATAGGGGATATTATTTTCATTGAAGACTTCCATCACATCGACTTACATACTTTATAAAGGGAAAAGGATGATGGGCACAAGTCTCGTCAAAATTGTAGAACCTGAAAAGTGTTCAAAAAAATACAAATCTTACTTCTTGAGATTTCTAAAATACTTTGTAAACAGCTTTGGGAAGTTTGCTACAAAATAAAAAAAATTTAGAAATTTATTTTTAATTTTTTATAAACAATCTAAATTGCATATTTAAGATTTATAAAAAAAAGAATTGCTTGAGCCGAGTTTGATTGACATTAAGTCAGCATATTAATGAAATCTCAAAAATAGACTAGACAGAAATTTAAAAAAAATATATATATTAAACGCCTTTATATAAAAGTTAAAATAAAATCACTAATTGCTTTGTCCTATTTCTGGGAGTTTATTTTCATAGACGATTTCCATTACATTGACTTAAATACTTTATGAGAAGGAAGGGTGATGGGCACAAGTCTCGTCAAAATTCTAGGACCCTGAAAAGTGTTTGAAAATACGTATCTTAATTTTTGAGATTTCTAACATTTTTACCAAACAGTCTTAGGAATTTCGTAAAACAAAAATAAAAATTTAGATATTTATTTTTCTAAACAATCTAGATTACATATTTAACTGAGTGAAGTTTGATTGACATGTATTAATGAAATCTCAAAAATTGACTAGACTAAAATTAAAGAATATTTATATATTAAACGTTTTTGTATAAAAGTTAAAATAAAATAAAATAAAATCACTAATTGCTTTGTCCTATTTCTAAAAATATTTTAATTATCATTTTTTAATAAAAGAAAGGGAAAACATTTTTTTCTTTCTTTCTTTCTTTGAATATTTTTTTTAAAACCCCAAATTTTATTTCTAAAATTAAAAATAAACCTCAGCTATAGCCTTCACCTATTTATTAAATTTTAAGGTTCAGACTAGTTCTGCCCAATCCGACTTCCCACCAACCTTTCGATTGTACTCATGTGAGCAGCCCATATGGTGTTAAACGTTGAACAGTCTTTGAACAATGCGTTAGAGCTTGAACAACCATAAAAGTCACTGTAACCCCCCAACACCAGTTTACTCCAATCCTAAATCCCCCTCTTTATCATCATTAAAAATCATAATAACTTTGTCCATATTGATGGGTGTCATCGATGGACTGTCTTCATGTAACTTTTTATTGCTAGGCAACTACCCAAGTATATCTTCGTTGACCACATTGAATTTAATCTTTATAACTGATAGCTCAATATTTTATTTGGGTACTTACCCAGAGGCATCTACTGACCACATCGAGTCAATAATCTGAATAGAGGGTGTAACTATGATTGCTAATCCATAGTCCCAATTCATCTTCATATTTTTAATTTGTCATTTATGGTGATTATGCCTGCTTGCCACCATAATCCCTAATTAACCCGGTTTTTATTAATATCAATTTTCATATAAATTCTTTATTCCCTACAATATCCAAAAATTTAATATTTATTTTCCAATAATTTTCCTATGACCAATAACCCTAATTGCCATAAAAATTTTATCTTCCAGTAACCTCAATTTCTTTAAACCTTCAATACTCCGGTTTGATCTGTAGGACCCCAGACATGCTAGAATGGTTATTATTAATAAGTCTTTCCTGGAATCTTTGGTCGCTTCATTAAATATATCTTGGGTATATTTTAAATTTCATTTGTTATATTTGAATAGTTTTTGCGATACAAGCTTGTGACTGATTAGGGTCTGCGAGACCCCACCAAAGTATATTCATAATTTAAATTTTTTTATTTATTTTACTTATTAATATATATCATTACATTATAAGGTTTATCAAAACGAAATTTTATTATTGTATTTTTAATGAAATATAGGTAAAGAACAAATTGGGAATAGTATCCACTCAAGAAGAAAGTGTAGATGTGTCCTATAAATATGGATAAGAAAACTATGCGATTTAATAGAGAAAATTGAATTAAGTGAAAATCTTAATCATTTATATAAATATACTCACCATTAATGCGATTTTTTTCGAATTTGTAAAAAGAAAAAAAAATTATTTTCAGAGGATAAAATGCTTTATGTGATATAAATGCTTTTATTTTCAAAATTATAATATTTCAATGTCCTATTTATTTTTTATGTTTAAATGCATTGGGGTAAATTTTGTTTTATATAACGTATAGAATGATCAAAATTATGAATTATTATGATAAATAAATTATTTTTTAATTTAATTTTAGTAAGCTTTTTTTCGAAAATCTTGGGACAAGTTATAATTATAAGTCATCGTCATCATATTTAATCTAACCCTAATAAATTAAAATAATTTAATATTTTACAAAGTTTAATGTTAGTTCTATCTTATTTCCAAATAATAACTTAAATTAATGAATATAAATATTGATATACTTGAAATGGGGGACTATTAGATCCTGTGTTTAGCAAAAATTTTTGCATAAATTTTGAGCAAAAAATCTTTGAAGATCAAAAAAAATTGAAGATCTATTCGTAAAAAAATCTTAACATCATTTGATCTTAAACAAATTTGAGGATTTTTAAATTTTGAACAAATGTTAACCCCTTATTAGATCTCAACAGAGCACTAACGTCATTTTTTCACTGGACTATTGAAGAGTTAAATAAAAGTTGATAACATAACCATTTCTTCCGAGGTGACATTTTTAACTAATTTCCACAAATCATCATTTATAAGTTCCCTCAATTTCATAATTGTTTCAATAAATTAAATATCATAAATTTTCAATAAATACCAATATCATTATTAAATTATAAACAAAATATATCCAATTTCCAAATATTCATAACATAAAATTCATAACAAATTAAATAAACCTTAGGAAATTATTTTCATATTTTAATAACTATTAAATATCAATAATCATAATTTAAAATTTATCATATTTTTCAAATTAATATTCATTTGCTAATTTTTCATTAAGAGATATCAATCTCCTAAAATTAATTTCCAGATGTACTAAATTAATATTATTCCAAATATATGCAAGTTTAATAATTATGTTGTGAATGTACTTCATTTTTTTGAAATTTAATTAAAATTAGTTAAGATTACATCAGAGTTACCCTTCATTTGTTTTCATTAAATCATCAAAAAATTCATTATTGATTTATACCTAAATTCATCAATAGCAATGTTCAATCATCTTCCCATTAAAATATCATTATCCATTTACCAAATGAAACATATACTATTTGGTTAATTTATTTATTTATTATCATCAAATATAAATTTAGTATTTTTGTAACATCATTTTAATCGATAATAAAACACACAAATATGCAATAAGAATCATTGATAATCAATTCATTTCCATTTATTGAACTGAAATGGATATATTATTGTTGTAGTTTCCATATATTTTATTTAATAGGCTATTTATTTTAACAGATGTATTAATTTTAAAATAGTAGATTGATTAAAAAGAAATTTTTAAGATCGATTTATTATTTTGTAAACCTTTTATATTTGAATATATTTTAAAAAGAATAAAAAAAATAATAGTTAATTACTTAAACAATATTCCTCTGACAACGCTCCTAAATTTAGATTTTAGATTAAAATTTCCTTGTTAAAAAGAATTTAAGAAATTAGGTCAATGTTTAATCATTAGCATAAAAACACTCATTCATTATTATAAAAATGGAACTTTGAAAAAAAAAACACGCATTATGGCCATTGAAATTGAATCAGCAGAGTAATTTAATAACCTTTATATTATAACATGTTTTATAACTTGTCTATAATAGTGTCATAAGATTGTTGCAGCAATATTTAAAGGAAAATAATTTATTAAGATCTTTAGCTACTTTACAGGAAGAAACAGGCATATCTTTAAATACAGTTGATAGTATTGAGAGCTTTGTTTCCGATATTAATAATGGTCATTGGGACACCGTTTTAATTAATATTAAACCTTTAAAGTTACCCGATAAAAAATTAATTGATCTATATGAGCAGGTAAATTATTTAAATTCATTGAATATAAACATTTCTTATGATTATTATTGTATTTTAAATATAATAATATTTTTAGTAAATGTTGATTATCCACTTGTTTTCTGGTTGATATCTTGCATTATATGCTAAACTTTTAGAAGATTTTTGCTTACAAATCATAGCTCTGCAATAAATGGCCCATTAAATATTTTTACACAAATTGCTCAGCCTAGCCCATTTTTTTGTTTTTCTGGCCTATTAAAATTTTATGAACCCATTAAATTTTTTTGGAAATATTTTTAATGTGTCTAATCAATGGCTATCTATTTATGTAACACGTTTTAATAAATCATTTATGTTTTAATATCTTTATTTGTAATTGGATCTTATAGATAAAAATAACTTATTTTTATGAATTTACTATCTTATTTAGAGATTTAGTATTATAGTTTGTCTTCTTTTAAAACCCAGAAATAATCATATTGCAATTTATTTTCCACAATATTAATTCCAAAAATTTGAGGTCTATATCTTAATTTTTTAAAAAATCGGAGATTTATTTTACAGGGCACAATTTTTAAGTATGAATTGTCAAAGTTGGCCATAATTTTTATGTATTAAATGTAAGCTGGCTCATTAAAATTTTTTTTGCCTAGCCAAGCCCAACCTATTAAAAAAAATATTTTAAGGTTAGACTATAGGGATTTATGTTGATTAAGTGTTACAAATTTCTAAAAGTCCATAGACTTTATGAGGGTGGCAATGATTGTTTTGTATTTCTGGCTTTTAGAGCACCATTTACTTACAACTCTATATGCTAAGTGCTGTCCATTATGTTGAAGATACTTCTCCCTAGTATTTTTTGTGTAGTTAATTGCCAGCCAATAGCAGAATTGGAACTTCCATGGGATAGTAGACTCCCTTGATATAAATCTTCTTCACCAAGAAGCACCAAAATGAGCCCCGGTCCCACTTCTACCTACTTCAAACTTCCAAAATATTTTTGAGAAAATCTCACAAATGAAAAGTAATCCAGAAAAGGGATTGAGCCCCCAACATAATTACTGTGTCTGGTATATTATATGGTTACCTTTATTTTTTTCACAAGATTGGGCGTTGAAATTTTTCCCATGAGGAACCTTTTATAATTGGTCATAATATAATATTGTTTGTTATGTAGAGATTTTGTAATAATGATATAATGCTATATTAGAATAAAATAAAGATGGATACCGATAGCCAGAGTATGCTGGTTGGAAGTGTCTATGGCAGGGCTTCAAACCGGAACTAACCGTTATAATTTTTTGAACCGTAACCGAACCGAAAGAGCAAACCGAACTGTTATTTTTGACCCGGTTTTATAACGGTTTTTAAAACATAATTAATATCTTAAAATGATTAATATTTAAAATTTTAATTTTCCTTGGGGACTATTTAAATTAGCGATTTTAAATTAAAATTTTTTTTTCAATTAAACCGGCATGATCTTCATAGTAATCAATACAAAGCTTATTTGTTTTTACTTTATTTACTCAATTTAATAGGATATTAGGCAAATTACTAGTTAATTAGGTAAGAAATAATCTTAGATTAAATTAAATATAGGAAATATAAAAATATAGATTAAAAAAGATTTTTCTTAAAAAAAATCAAATTTATAAACACAGGAATGAACCGAAAAGAACCGTTATAAATTCTAAACCGAACCGCTATAATTAACGGTTCGAAGCCCTGGTCCACGGGGTTTAGGCCTTGCCCCTAAATACTTAGTCTGGCGAAAAATGAAAGGTAACTGTATTCATTACAACACATAAATATTATATAGTAATTATGTTCGGACTCAATCCATTTTTTGGGTTGCTTTTCATGTGCGAGGTTTTCCTTGTCTTTCCACAAAAATACGTTGTTTTTTTTAAAGTTTTTTAATTACTACTAAAATTCTTATATAAACTATAATCTTATAATCTACCACACCATTTTTCTTAAATTGTGTTTATTTAATAAAAAAAAAATCTGACAAAAAACTGTTTTTTATGTTTGAAAAACAGTTTTTTAAAAAAAATAAATTTATCCATATCAAACAAAAAAAAGGAATTAGATATTTTATGATGTATTTATGTTTTCTCTTTAGATCGTATTAGAATTGATAGAGCTGAGAGAGTTGGGCGCGGCCCGTTCTCTTTTGAGGCAAACTGACCCCATGATTATGCTGAAGCAGCAGTATCCCGATCGGTACATCCACTTGGAAAATATATTGGCCCGGTCTTACTTTGATCCGAGAGAGGTATAGAAATACTTTACTTAAACTAGATAACCAATTTTTTGGTAGATTTGTTAAATATCATAATTGAGGAGAAAGTGGAAGAAACGGGGAAGGTGAGAAGAGTGCCTAAATTTTGATGGTTAGTGCAGGAATAGGCAGTAATTTCTAGGAGTTTGAATCTATTTTGAAAAAATTGGCGATTGGATATTTTATGTGTCGATACTTGGAAATAGATACTCCTGGTGGAGTAAAAGGGATAACCGTAATTTACTTGGAAAAAAAAGAATTTCTTGGAATCACGAGAATTTTTTTATATTATTATAATTGGGGCAGTGCCGATCCACATATTTTTCACCGATCCGATTGGTTCTAAACCTATACGATATTTGTATCGATTATTTATCAACCCCTCCCTCCCCCTTGAATTAAATGTAATTATAAAAATTTGAAAGCGTCATTGAATTCAAATCAGCTGGACCCCTCCATTTTGGTACATATATTAATTACTAGTTGATAACCTGCCAAGAATGATCGGGAATAAAAAAAAATCTTGAACTATGAAATATTTTTTTAAAATACATTTTTTTAAATATAAAATAAATGACAAATTTTAGTGATTATTTATTCATTTTATTAAATTTAGCGTAAATTATACGAAATTGTAATCAAAAATGTAGGTTAGATATTGATAAATTGGTATTTATATGTCATTTCAAGAATTCGAATATTGTTGTTGAGATAAAATTTTTATACCGGCATATTTTGGGGTGGTAATATGAGATAAATGTTTATTTTTCAATTGGCTAAATATAATTAAATATATTTGTTAAATCTAAATTGTAATATGTACTTAGGATTAGTGAGGGAGATACTATTTGCAGAGCTCCCATATTGTGGTTGAGATAAAAAAAAATACTGCCATATTTTGGGGTGGTAAATAATTTAAATTTATTTGTTAAATCTAAATTGTAATATAAAAATAATTTTATAAAAATTAATAAATTTTACCTTGATTGAATATAAATACTTACACTAAAATTAATATGAGATAAATGTTTACATTTCAATTGACAAAATATAATTTAATTTGCTATTTTAAATTTAATAATATTCATTCTTACCATAATTTGAGGTGAGGTTAGTATTCTCTTTAATATAACACAATAAGATCTTAATTATATAAATTAATTGAAAAATAAATGTTTAATAGCAGAATAATAACATACAGAAGAAATATTATATTACAAAATTTTAATATAGAAGGTGGCTGAGTGGAACAACGTTTGCCTTTAAAACGTTAAATCATAGGTTCGAATCCCGTGATGTACAAAAAATTTTCTTTAAATTTAACGTTAGAGATATATAGTCTCCATCGATTTATTTAATATTAAGATGATAGGAAAGTTGATAGAAAAATAAAAGTTAACATTAAGTTGATAGGAAAAATAAAAATTAACATTAAGATTATACGAAAACGTTCATTTCTTGATTACGGTGATTATATACATAGATTCTCATGTTAAAAACTACTATTAAATAGAAATCTCGATGATTAGGCAATTCTTTAATAAAGTTTGCGTTCAGACATAGGAATAAATTGGCTTCTCGTTTAAAATTTTGAATAATGATATGGGTAGACTAAAATGGCGTTCCCAGCTGTTTTTCATTAATGCACACTTTTAATGAATGCATCGTCAGTCTAAGTATTATTATATGTGTCATTGATATATAGATATATAAGGTAAATTCCATATCAAATCAATAAAAAAAAGCGATCCCGATCCGCCCAGAATTTTTTTTTTAAATTTTACCCTCCACCGTTTATCCGCTAAGATCCGGGAGTTTATAGCGGGGGCAAAATGGTACATATTTTGGCAAAATGCACTTCATTTATTTTCAAAATATCTTGAGAAATAATTAATGTTGGAGCAATAAATTGAATTATAATTATAAAGCTTAATTAATAGTTCCTTAATATGACATATATATATATTATCAAGAATGGCTGATATTGTCAGCTGACTTTCGGGGCTTATCTTCTTTTCTTTTTTTAAAATAATTTGAGTTATTTTTTTCTAATATTTTTCCTTCATTTGTTAATTAACTCTTCATACGAAGTTTTGATTGGATCGTTTTAAATTGTTTACCAATATTTGGTCGTATTTAATGGATTTTTTTTTCAATATTCCTCCCCGCCAAATTAGGCCTCGGCGGTTAAACGCGGTTAGCAAAACTATCTTTATCATTCTTAAAAAAAATTTCTATAACTCGGATGCCATGATTCCTTCGATATTTTTTTGGGGAAAACGCCAAATGTCGGTACCGATCTGATAATTAATATCGGCAGTAAAAAATGTGGGCTCGGGTCGGGTTCGGTCAAAAAAGTTTTTTTAAATTCGGGCTCGGGCTGCGAAAAAATTACCTTGCGCCTCTAATCGGCACAGCCCTAAATTCGATTTATTTCACAATGGCTTTTTGATTAAGTAATCCGTAGTTAATAGTTTATGTTATTAAAAACAAAAATAATAAACAGGCATATTTGGAAGGTTCTAGTAAGGAGAAGAGGAGAACCTTAATCGCCAAAGCTCTGAGTGGAGAGATAACGGTTGTGCCCCCTTCCAGACTCTTAGCGTTGCTGGGACAGTCCCTGAAATGGCAGCAGTCTCAGGGACTTCTACCTCATGGTTAGCATTATTCATTATATTAATTATCATTAAATAATGACCCTTTTTCTGTATTAGTCCTTCAAATTTATCTTTCTCAATACTTTTTTTTTCTAGGAACTTCGATAGATCTCTTCAGGGGTAAATCTAACACCTCTCACTTGGCCCGCAACAAATCCTCTAAAAAGGCTAAACAACAAAAATCCTCGAAAAACTTGCAAGATGGTGCCTCCGACGAAGAGCAAGATAGACGTGCCCGCGGGAAAGCTGACGATTACAATGGGGATGGCACTGACCCCGATGAGAGTGAAGGTGACGAAGACGATAATGACGACGTGGATGGCAAAGGAGTGGAGAAGTACACAATAATTAACAATATATAAAAGAAATGTGATTCATTATGTTGGCAAGAACCTTGACCTAAAGCGTTGAGTAGCATTTATTTTTTGAACAGAGATTTGCCGATAAGGTTTTTAAGCTAGGGATGGAAAAGAAGTTTTTTTTTCGGGAGCTAAAAAACAACAATCTAAAAGAAATAAAAAGTTGTTTTGTTTTTTTTTTGTAAAAAAAATTTAATATGAAAAATATGAAATATTTTGTCACAATTAGTTTTTTTTTGGTGGGAGGGGGGGGGGTAGGAAATAGAGAAATATAAAATTATACTAAGTACACACCACTCCCCACCCCACACTACAGCCACTTATTTTGTTTGTTTATATTATTTTTTTTATAGATTTTTAAAAAAAATTATTTCGAGAAGGTTCTCATTTTATGTAAGTGTGGTCGAATGACTGGATTTAGCCGATTATGATAAACTGGAAATTTTTGCGCCAAAAAGTCAAGCTCGGAGATTATCTCCAAGACTTGCGTAGTATTTTTTTGGCTAAAATTTTGGGTTAATTATAAATCGAGCCGTGTAACATCATTACTCTTGATTACTCTCTAGGATATTGAATTAGAATCAAATTTACAAAACCAATAATGAACCACTTCTTCATTCCTATCCCGGGAAGATCATTATCAATCCCACCTTAATATCATTTATTTTTTCGTATTTTCTAATCTTTCTATAATCTCGCAGTTTAATTAAAAAAAAATTCTTTACTATTTTAAAATTTTTGAAAAAAGGGAAGAAAAATATCCCAACGTGTGTTACCGGAAAATAAAATTCGGTTCGAAATCGAAAGTGCTCTCCTGCAAATTTTCTCCCGACGCCAGGTATCTAGTCACCGGCAGTCAGGATTGGATCATCGAAGTGTGGGACCCAATCAGCGGAAAACTCAAGAAGGAATTGAGATACCAATCAGAGGTTAGTTTGGGGGGGGGGATTTTTTTTAAAACTGGAACAAAATCTGTGAAATAAGTAAAGTTAAATCCTGAAATTCCCGTTTCCCAACCTTGTAGGATTTTCCATTCTAAGCGTATCTTTTTTCCATTTACTAATATTAGGGCGTATCTCTCACCCTTTAGGGTTAGGTCTTAGTTCTTCTATCTCTTTTTAAAAATTTAAAATATTGCTACTCCAATGATAGTCCAAATAAAATTATATGAAAACTAACATATCAAATATAAAATAAAATAAAAACCTTATTCTATTAAAACCGAGGTGGGACTACAATTTTCCAAAAAACATGAATAATTATATTTTAAAATAGTAATATGTAGATTTTGTTTTAAAAAATAATATTCTTTAGGTTCTGATGTAAGGGCTCTAATCTTGTCGCCTATATTTTTTAAAAATTTTAAAGTTCCACTTGACATATGTCCAAGTGAAGAGATAACGATTGGTATAAAAATATAATTTGTTAATGTTGAATATTTAATTGTTTCTGCCATGTCAACCGGATTAGAATTTAAATATTTTGGAAAAGAAGATTCGTATGTTGAAGTCCCAAATTAAGGATTTCCCTAAAGACCAAGGCACGAAAGTTAAGCCAGCCATCATCTAATGATAAAAAGAACAAATAAATATTCAAAATTAACAAATTATACTCTTTAAATATTTAGGACAATTTTATGATGATGGAAGAGGCCGTGTTAGCCCTAGGATTCAGCAAAGATTCCGAACTTCTGGCTTCCGGTTCCGCCGACGGAGAAATCAAAGTTTTTAAAAATTAAAAAAAATATATATATTGTAGAAAAAAAAATCGATTTAAGGATTTTTAATTGGTTACTTTATTTTGAAGCGAAATGTTCGATAATGTAATTTATTAGAGATTTGGTCTGAAAAAGTTGGTTTGGGAAATATTGTTCGAGGAATGGGTTGTGCGAATTATATTAGACCCGTTTTTCGTACGCTTCCCTTAGAATTACTGAAACTAGAGTGACCAGAGAGTGCTCCCCTAAGTGTTTCCTTTGCATAATGTTAGCTACCTTGACCTTTTTTTTTTCTAGCCTAGTATTCGATAAATTTTTTGATTTAAATGAATAAAATAAAGGTTTGGAAGATTGTTAACGGAACGTGTTTCAAAAGCTTCGAAAGGGCTCACAGTAAGGGCATCACGTGCCTAAATTTTTCGCGCGATCACACCCAGATACTATCGGCTTCTAATGATCACCATATCAAGTTATTTTGGAGATTTGTTATTGACTCTTTTTTGTTGTTGTTCACACTTTCAAAAGTATTACTTTTTTCTTTATGCTCATATAAAATATTTGTAAGGATGTATGGCCTGAAATCAGGCAAGTGCCTTAAAGTGTTTCGCGGTCACACCTCTTACGTAAATAGCGCCATTTTCTCTGCCGATGGACATTACGTTATAAGCGCGTCGTCGGATGGTAGCGTCAAAATTTGGAGTTCCAAATCGGCCGGTAATTAAAAAGAATGATTAACTCGTCTTTTTTTTTAATGAATAGATTGGAAGATTTTTCTCGTGGATGTAACCTTTACACAATTTTTGATTTAACTTAATTAACGGTTTTTTTTATAAAAAACATCCTTTTCTTTCATTCATTCATTCTTTCTTATCAATATATCTCTATTGGTTATTCTCATATCCTTTGAATTATAATTATTATTATAACGGCGATATTTGAAAAATTCGTAACGATATGGTCTATATTATCCGTTATTCAGCCGTGATTATTTATCGAGACCTGCAGGCCCGTCTCGGTTACACGTACCGCGCCGTATTTTAATTTTTTTAAATACCCGGGCCAGGCCGGGCCGTATATTTTAAATCGCGCCATTATTAGCTAATTAAAATTAAAAATAAATATATATTTTTTAAAAAAAATGCATGCAATTGGTTCTTCTGCAGGTCCCTGATTGTTATTTCTATCAAAAATTTGATATCTGGCAACATAATCAATATTCTTTGTGAAAAATACTTTAGTTGTATAAGTAAGGTCTGGGATACCATTTCTGTCTATGATTTATGTAGAAATTTCGTGTGGTAGTTCTTCCATAATTGTTATATTCTTGTTGTGGTTGGCTATCATCATATTAAACTTTTTAATTGTCCTTTGCTCCATCTATCTACCTTGTATTGGTTGCTAACTTATACTACAATAAAGTTATTGTAGAAAAGTTAAATGAAAGTATATTTCCAAGATTATCTTTCATCTAAGAGTTACCATGATTAAAATCAAATTGTTTTAAAATCAATTTTTAAAAAAAATAATATTATGCCTCACATTTTACTATATTTTACATGTAATTTTATTTATTATTAAAAATTAAAGGACATATAAAGCAATCCAATGAGTTTGCCTTTCATTTAATTTAAATAATTAATTGAATATATATATAATTAATTTAATTAAAATAATCATGCATCATTAATATTATTGTTATATACACGTAATGTATTAAATTAGGCATAAATGGGCAGATATTAGATGTATCATGATTAAAAGAGTAATAATCAATTTAATATCATTAATTCCGCATGAAAACAAATATATGTAACTGTTATTAAAATAACGTTGCCAGAATAGATTTTTTTCTCCAGCACGTATTTTTTTTTTCTAAAAATAAATTAAGAATTTTACCAGCCCTATTTACCTAGAGGAATTATAAAATATATATTTAGATTTCATTTTACAATAATTATCTTATTATATTTACATAAAGTTTAAATTTATTCTTTTTTTCTTTCTTTCTTTCTTTCTTTCTTTCTTTCTTTCTTTCTTTCTTTCTTTCTTTCTTTCTTTCTTTCTTTCTTTCTTTCTTTCTTTCTTTCTTTCTTTCTTTCTTTCTTTCTTTCTTTCTTTCTTTCTTTCTTTCTTTCTTTCTTTCTTTCTTTCTTTCTTTCTTTCTTTCTTTCTTTCTTTCTTTCTTTCTTTCTTTCCTTCCTTCCTTCCTTCAAATTTATTCTTTTTTTGAGATTTTAAAAATAAATTTCAATCTATCTAAAATTTAGGTGGATTGGCACGTTTTTAAATTTTAGAGAGACATGTATCTGAAAAAAACTTCCCAATATACCAAAAAGGAAGGGGAGGGGTGATTTAAAAAAACGTTATATTTAACCAATGACATATAATAATACCAAGACTGACGATGCGTTCATTAAAAGTGTTCATCAATGAAAACAGCTGGGGATGCCATTTTGATTACCAATATCATTATTTAAAAATTCTTAATGAGAGGCCAATTTATTCCTACATCTGACTCTAACTTTATTAAAGAATTGCCCGATCAACGAGATAATAAAGGAAGCACAAGTTATCAATTTAATAGTAGTTTTTAACACGGGAAAAATTACTATATGGGTTACCAAAATGGCGAGTCCAGCTGATTTGCATTCAACGACGCTCTCCAGATGCATTATTATGAATGCACCGCCAGTCTAATTGAATACGGTCAAACTTATCGAGGATCTAAATTGACTCGAATAATGATATTCATTGTTTTACTCTAATTATTTGGACTCGAAGTTTATAGCAACCGCATCCTTTAAGGGGCGGAGAGGTCGATTCGACTAAAAATTAACAATAAACCATTTACAAGGGATAAAACTATAAAATATATAATGCAGATTGCGTAAACACCTTCAAAACTTTCGGAACGGTTAACGAAGTTACGGTGAATTCCGTTCATTTGTTTCCCAAAAATCTCGAACATTTTATCGTTTCCAATAGATCCAATACATTGACTATTCTCAACATGCAAGGCCAGGTAATGAATTTAAAATACGATATTATATATGTCGTATGGGGATTCGGAATCTCTCAATTATAAATCATTTACTAAGGGGCGATTTTTGGATTTTTAAAATTCTGATATTACAGTAATTGTATTTCAGCATGTATTAGATTACCCAAACTGTAAATTTCAAACAATTTTGCCATGAACTTTAGAACTCCTTCTAATTTATATTAATTTTTATAAGGATTTTTCGTATAAAATTGAAAAATACTAAAATGTTTATGGCTGAAATTTACGAGGGGTAAATACTATACACGAGCTAGAATACAATTCCTGGATTTTTAAATCCAAAAATCGTCCTGTGTGAATGATTTAAAATTGAGAGATTCCGAATCCCCATACGACATATATAATATTGTGATTGATTAATAGTTTTAATTTATTGAAAAATGTTGCTTCAAAAAAATGAATTATTTCAGATAGTTAAAACGTACACTAGCGGTAAGCGTAGTGAAGACGGAGGCGATTTCGCGTGTTGCTGCATTTCCCCCAAAGGTACTTGGATCTATTGCGTGGCTGAGGATAATATTCTCTACTCCTTCTCAACCAACACGGGAAAATTGGAAAGAACGCTTAACGTACCTTTAATTTAAAAATTTTTTTTGGATATTTTTAAGCATATTTTATAAATGAAATTTTCTAATAATTTCTTGATCCTCACCTTAAACACTGACTTTCTTTCTCAACGTAAGTAATGTTAAATTTTTCCCTTTATACAACTGCAGGAAAATCTACGTTTTTTATTATTATTATAATCTGATTAAAAAATAATAATGAAATTTTATGAAACTCATCTTATGTCTCTAACGGACTAAAATGCTTAGTATAAATGGTCAAAAATATTTTTTAATTTTTCCAACGCAAATCTAGAATTTATAGGGTAGGGTATAGCGATGGTGGCATCAGTAAAAATATAGATCTGGTTCCACTCCAATAAATCCCTTCATATAATTCTCTTTTTGGCCTGATTTAAATATCAAAATTTTAATACAAATTTTTTTAAAAGAAAGAGGGAAATATTTCATATTCATATCATGTTTTGTAATAAATAAGAATTAAATAGATAAAAAAATCATTTAAATTATCAAAAGTTATCAGGCCTGCATCTAAAAAAATACCATTGGTCACTGGTACTATGGCAATAGTCATGATAATTTAAATGAATAATTATCTATTTTATTCCATTTATTCAATGACATATAATAATACCTAGACTGACGATTCATTCATTAAAAGTGTACATCAATTCAAATCAGCTAGAGACGCCATCTTGGTTACTGTAATAAATATTAAAATTTTAAACGAGAGCCTAATTTTATATTATATCTGATGCAAACTTTATTAAAGAATTGCCTGATCATCGAGATAATAAGAAATTAAGTTATCAATTTAATATTAGTTTTTAACATGAAAATAATTATTATAAAGGTTACCAAAATGACGGGTCCAGCTGATTTGCTTTTAACGACGCTTAAAAATGCATTTTAATGAATGAATCGTCAGTCTAGGTATTATTATATGTCATTGCATTTATTACAAAATATGAGATAAAAATGAAATACTTTCCTGTCTTATTTTTTAAATTCATATTATAATTTTGATATTCCAATTAGATGAAAAAGGGTATTAAATGAAAAATATACAACATTAAAATCCGGACTTACAAGCCAGGCCTATATCTTATTAATGTTACCGCTGGCCCCCTGTGGGACTTTGATTTATGAAGAAAATATTTTTATAATCATCCGAAATTGTAAATCAGTTTATTATTATTATTATTTTTTTTATACAAAACGTGATTTTTGATTTCTATTTTTTTAATGGAATTTGAATCTTTCTAACAACTTCTAATTCAATACAAATAAATGAAAACTGTTTGTTCAGATACCTGCAAGCCCGGCCTTATTTCAATCGCTATTAATTAGCTATTAAAATCAAAAATAAATTATATTTTAAAACATCCGGATTATGGTGAATTGAATTTATGGGGATTCATAATCTCACGATTTTAAATCATTTACCGAGAAAGATGTTTTTTTTAAATTCGAAAACTTTGATTTGACCTTAAAAGTATTTCGCGCGCATTGTGAAACCGGAAATGTATATCAGGTGATTATTTTTTTTTAAGAAATAGGAGATGTGTTTATGACAATTTTGCCTATCAACTTTTGAACTCCTCTAGCTTATTATTTGAATTACAAAAAAAGTAAATATGCAAAATTTAAAAAGTTTTATGATGTAATTTGTAAAATTGATGCCTGTCTGATCATATCAAATTTTTCTAACTTTAAAAAATCGTTCTCAATAAATTATTTAATGTGATAAGATATTTTGAATACGACACATAATGGTAAGTTAAGCTAGTAGTTTTTTAATAATATTAAAAGCAGTTTAGAGAGGGGAGGGGTGTGTATAAATTTATCTAGTTTTGAACGCCTTACACCCTTTTATTGTATCCTTTTTTTTCGCAGGTTCACGAGAAAGACATTATTGGTATGGCCCATCACCCTTATCAAAATATCATAGCTACCTTTAGCGACGACGGAATCCTAAAATTATGGAAACCCTAAATTCCTATTGTTGCGCGTGTTATATTTTATTATTAGAGATTTTTAAATTTTATTTAGCAGTTTTTGTCTTTGTAAAATTATGTATCTTGATACAATTATAAATATTATATTTTTATACGATAATACATACCTATTCCTTTCTATATAATGTATCATCTTCTTTAAATAAATAAATGAATATTTTAAAAAAAAAAATAATTTCTGCTTATTTATTTTTGTATCCGTTAACTCAATGTATTTGCAACTGTTAACTCAATGTATTTGCAAGCTAGGGGTAAATTTTCAAAAAATAAAAAGTATTCTTATATTAATTACAAATACGCTTCAGAAAATAAGTATCTGAATAATACGTTTTAAAAAATAATGTAGCTTAAATATTAATACTTAAATACCTACAAAAATTTTTTTTTAAAAAAAATTATTTAAATAGAAATATTTAGATGAAGATATTTTGTAAAACGATTTTTTTCCTATCGTCCCACGTTTTTCGAAATTATGTTTATGCGTTTTGACGTCTTGCCAAAAGGTGAATAATTATAATGACTTTCTTGGTGAAGATTCTTAAACATTTTTAAAAACAAGCATTACAATACAAACCTCTCAATGTGTATGATTAATCTTAGATTATTTACCAGATCAAAGACTACATTAATTACACGGAATATACATGTCCTAACAAACCAAGCAATGGAGGATTATTTATTATTATCATCATCTAATATTATATACCTCTTGAGTTTCCATTTGTTATTTTAATTTATCTTATTTACAAAATATTATTTGTTTTAAAAATAATTTGCAGGTATTTACATTTAATAATATCGCACAAGATTTAGTCCATAAAAAAGTTCTCGTCATAACAATTTTCAGCTCAGGTAGAATACAATATGATACAAATACGTATTTTCAATTAGTATTTTTACAAATATATCATTAAGATGATGTAGTTTAAGCAATTATCTCCAATTCCAAGTAAAATGCATGATATATATTATTTTCATTTTATCAGTTATTCTACAATCCCCATTCCTCTTTATATTGCTGAATACTGGTTCCTCATGACACATTAATTTAAAAATATTATAGAGTTGTTAAAGATAATTGAACAATACTGGATTCGCTATTAATTATAGAAAATTGTCTGAACAGACCATTTTTAAAAAAAATAAGGATCGTGATACTATTAATTATCGATTCTTCTTAAAATATTATTTTTGTATCTCTTAATTGATCATATTTATATCGCTGAGTTATAATGCATTTTTTTTACATGGTATAATTGTTTAAAAATGTCGTGCTAATAAGTCAATCTATGTAGCAATTATCGATCAAGAAATTTAAGACATATTGTTTCAGTGAGCTTCAATTTAAAATGCTTATAAAAGCATAATCAAAAAATTATTCTAAAAATGAGATAGATAAAATTATGGAGATTTATAAGAAGTATTAAGCTAGGCCTTTTGCATTGAGGTTTTAAATAAATGAGCGAATAAAAAGATCTGGGATCGAATACTACTTTATAGAGGATCATTATAAAGCTATAGGCCAATCGAAAATGGGGATTATTAAAGAGCTCGTCTTTTTAGACGATGTTCAATGAGGAATGTTTAAGAATTTCAAATATTAGCAGGAGATCATCAAGGCGTACAAGTGCGAATACTCAATTAACTCGTGATGGTGTAAGATTTTACCATGCGAAGAGCTATATTATGTAGGCCCATGACTCCTATTGGATCATTTATGAACGGAAAAAAATGAAATGCGCATGCCCATACTTTACGTGTTTGAACAATATTTCGTAACACAAAGCACATTCTGATCTTCCTTTTTTTTAAAACTCTCCACAAAAATTATTTTCAAAAAATCATAATCTTCTGTTAATTTTTTTTTTCTTTCAATTTATCATTTCGAATAAGTTTTCAAAATAAAAAACTCAATTGATTTATATTGGATAAAAATTATTTTTTTGTAAAATTTGTTAGATATTTTTTAAAAAAAGAAAATATATTACATTACAAATTGCCAGTGGTATTATTAAATTTTATTTTCTTTGTTTATAATTTTAATGGATTTATTTCCATATATATAAAAAAGAAATTTAGTTGAAGTTTAAATTTTCAGTAAAATTCTAAGATCTAATTTATTTTTGAAAATAAATAAAATTGATATTATTTTTATTAAATTTTTCGCTCAAAAAAACACTTTCAAAAAATTTCGTCTGTTTGAATAAACTTAATATTAACATTCAAATTATAAAGCATTGAAAATGCTGTCAACCAAAATTCTAAGTTTACTCATTGCCATATGTTCGTACGAATGTGCCACCTACAATATAATTACTATCAAACCAAAAACTGAACGTAAATAAACATATATATATATTTTTTTTTTAAAAACATAAAACATTATAAGAATCGTGAAATGAAATAAAATATCATTTAATTTCAAGCTCCGAAAATTGACATCAATCCGTATAAGAACCTTGTCAGTGCAAGAAATGCACCAATCGACGTTGTTGCCCTGATTGAATTGGCCTACCGTACCCCCGTACAATTTGAGTGCGCTCTGTCAATCACCTTCGTAACTCAAAATCATTTTTATAATTCAATCAAAAAATTATTTTTCCTAAATAGGGGTCACTCTTTCAACTCGTCAAGAATAACCCTCTAGGTCCTGATGGAGCTAACGTAGGAATCGTGACTTACAACAAATTTGCCAACGTTCATTTACCGCTGGGGTCAGCAACCGCCTTTTCCGGTGTGCTAGTCTACCCTACACCCGTTTTCAACGGGGGATCATCAAGTTATTTTATATTTTTTATCGCCATTTTTTATCGCCATTTTTTTTTAAAAATGAAAAGAATATTTGAATGTTGACACTGCCTTGTCGCTCGCTTATTCGATGTTGAATTCTAGCAGACCTAATGCCATTAAACAAATATGGGTATATATATCCGAGACGTCAACCGGACGTCCGGAGATAACGGCCAAATTCATGAAATCTTATGGTATGTTTTCTATTTTTTTCCTGTTTTTTTTTGTTTAGCCCTATAATAAAAGAAAAATGTATGTATTCTCATCATATATATATACTGAACTGTCAAGAACCCTGGTACAAAATTGCAATTTTTCTAAAATACATTTCTTAAATTTATATGATATTTTCAAATTCTAGGTGTTAAAATAGATGTCTTCGGTTTAGGCCCCAAGGTGAGTTCTGAACAATTAAACGCTATCGCGTCGTCTTCCATGAATGTCTTCACATTTCCCGATTACTGTTCCGCATCGAATTCTCTCATCGATTTCGTGAATAAGAAATTTTTGTGATTGAGCATGGATTTTTACTTTTCAAAAAAATATTTTATACTATTTTGCCAGAGTAAAATAAGTTGTTGTTCTCTGTAAAAAATAATATCATTCTCATTATTTATAATAAATTCAAATACCATAGCAAAATTTATATTATTATTTGATTCTTTTCCTCTATGTTCCAATAAATTTTCTTCTGAAAATAAAACGTTATAATTTATACTAGAAAATCTATATATATATATATATATATATATATCTTACGTTTTTCTTTTCAAAATAATGCATCACAGATTTAACCGAGAAAAACTTGACAAGGTCTGTTTAGTTATTGGTCCTGAAAAGGGCCTTTGGGTAATTGAGGAAGAAGAAGGGAGATTGAAGAATATTACGGAGGAGTCGTGTATTAAAGTCTCTTATGTGTATCCTCTCATTTTCTCTTCTTTTCCCCGTAGGAGATCGCCTCCTTTTGCTGCGCTTATGGCCGTCTGAATGTGGTTGTTCCCCGTGAAACACGTTCGTTCTCCTGAAAGGGGGCTGGAATAATTTTAATGTCCTCCGTTATAGCTGGCTTTGGCAGTTTGTCAATTCCAATGGATTGCGAGAGCTAGAGCTCTAACCCGTTCCGTAATATTTGCGTCGCTTAACCATGTCGGCTTTCTCGTGCATCCGTTTTACGATTTTGCTTGTCTGTCCTTCTCGTTGGTGAGGTACCTAGGTTCCCTTAGGTCATCATTAGGCCTTTCCATAAGTTAATAAGCTTTTGTATTTTTTCCGCGAGCGTTAAAGGAGCTTGTATAAACCCTGGGTGAGGTGGAGATAACTGAAATCGGGTGTGTGAAATCGATACCATACTGATATGGTCATTCAGAATACTATTCTCGTTATCGAAGCTTGAATATATCTGTTAACTTATCTGTAGCCCTGGGACTGATAAACCATGCGATATACACTGAACGTAGAGGACTTATCCGTCTTTCGTTGTCTAATCGACTCGTAGGGCTCTAATCGCTGTCATCACCGATCAGGTTGGCCCGTTTGGTTTTTCATATTTATCCCGCTAGAGGGGTCCTCCCTCGAGATATAAGGAGTAAGCAAATTGTCGAGGGGAGCCATTGGTTGGTTTCCTTCAACATGGTTGACTCTACTCCGATGATTGGCGTCTTTTTTAGTAAAATCTTACTTCTTAATAAATAAAATATAATATGATAAAAAGTATGATTATTTTTAAATTAAATCTTATTTATGCTAGCGAATAAATTTTTCGCCTCCTTTTACATAATATTAGCTATAAAACTCCAAATATTTATTATCAAGTTCATCTCATTTCAGGGTTCTTCTCTTGTTCTTCAACCTTTTAATTCTTTCCTCCAGATATATCAACTCTCTTTGTCTTCCTTAATATTTATTCCTCCGAGTTATAAAGTGATAAACAAACTTTCAACTAAATAAGGTGGTTTGAAACTTCTCTCTTTTGGCATCTGTTTTCCTTTCATCCCTCAAATGCCAGGAGATCTTTATTGAGCTTGTAAAAGGATGCCTGCTTATGGAGTAGAAATATTATTTTTTTTTATCTCTTTCACAAAATTTGTTAACTCTCTTCTGGCTAATTTTAAGAAATTAGTAAGTAAAAATCCTATATTTGAAAACTTGGGATTTAAATGACTAGAAGGTATTCCATGTTTGTCTGTTTCTTTGATGAAAAGAGGGGGTTAACAATAGAGCAAAATGGGGTGTAAAATAGGTAGATTCTAAAATTAGATATGATCTTAGTTTGTTCGCTCGCATTCTAAAGAGCGGCTTAGTCCTCATAGACTCAGTTAAAATACTATCTTCAGCTGTAAAAATGGCAGGGAAATGACAACATCTCCGGGCAACTAATATCGGTTTTAAAAGTTTATCTGGTATAGGGTGATCACGTTTTCCGAGATACGAAAGCTACCTAAAGAGGTTACGCAAAATAAACGTTACAAAATTCTTATACGTACAATGAAAAAAAAAAGATTGGCGTGGTACAATTCAAAGCACCCAGTGGGCTTCCTTATCCACTTACCACCAACAGAAACCAGGTGGAACTACAACTCGTGAAAAATAAACATATGACGACAACAACCTGACACTATATGGGAGAAACCGATTAGATAGTGACTATAAAGGGTTGCAACATGGAATATTTTCTTGCATAATAGTGGAAGCATTAAACAAAAGGAAGCGTGCACAAGAGACAAGATGATAAAAAGGTAAAGAATGATTGGCGATAGGGTTTCAAAATCAAGTTCTACGGGCAGGAATGTGCATTGGTATCCTTGTTACGGAGAAATTAGTCAACAAAATATTGGATGTGAAAAAGATTGAAAAATAGGATATTAATACATTTTGTTGGTAATAGAATATTTTAATAAGGATCTGATCGTATGCATCTCACGTCGGCAGAAATTTCGAAGAGAAAGATAATATTTTGGAATAGATTGTTAAGATATGACCATCAGGCGTGTCTATGCGGGGAATGAAAATTAAATTATCTCCGTTTTTCTAATAAAAAAAAGATATTTTTTTAAAGCAAAAGAAATTACCGGAGTTGAATAAGCGAAACAAATTTTTTTTTCAATTTAATTAAAAAATAAGCTTTTTATTATCTTAAAATTTTAAATTAATATTTTATCATGAAATTTCACTTACAAATTTAAGTATTTCAAAATAAAATCCTTTGATTTTTATATATATTTATTTGATTCAAAAAAAATTTTTTTTATTTTAAGTTAAATGAATTTTAAATCGAAATTCTAACTAAATAATTACTATCGGCAGTAAAATGTGTAATTAAATTTGAGACAGTTAAACAATGCTAAATTTTATTTTAAATGGCAAAATCAACTTTTAAATATAATTACATAATATATAATACTCGATAATTGAATATATAGTATAAGAAAATTTATAATATTTGCGCAAATTTAACATTAAATTTAAAGTTACTATTTTATAATTTAACATTAAATTTAAAGTTACTATTTTATAATTTAACCATAAATTTAAAGTTACAATTATATAATTTAACATTAAATTTAAAGTTACTATTTTATCATTTAACATTAAATTTAAAGTTACTATTTTATAATTTAACATTAAATTTAAAGTTACTATTTTATCATTTAACATTAAATTTAAAGTTACTATTTTATAATTTAACCATAAATTTAAAGTTACTATTTTATAATTTAACCATAAATTTAAAGTTAATATTTTATAATTTAACTTTAAATTTAAAGTTTTTATTTTATAATTTAACATTAAATTTAAAGTTACTATTTTATAATTTAACCATAAATTTAAAGTTACTATTTTATAATTTAACCATAAATTTAAGAGTTACTATTTTATAATTTAACATTAAATTTAAAGTTACTATTTTATAATTTAACCATAAATTTAAAGTTAATATTTTATAATTTAACTTTAAATTTAAAGTTTTTATTTTATAATTTAACATTAAATTTAAAGTTACTATTTTATAATTTAACCATAAATTTAAAGTTACTATTTTATAATTTAACCATAAATTTAAGAGTTACTATTTTATAATTTAACATTAAATTTATAGTTACTATTTTATAATTTAACTTAAATTTAAAGTTTTTATTTTATAATTTAACATTAAATTTAAAGTTACTATTTTATAATTTAACCATAAATTTAAAGTTACTATTTTATAATTTAACCATAAATTTAAGAGTTACTATTTTATAATTTAACTTTAAATTTAAAGTTTTTATTTTATAATTTAACATTAAATTTAAAGTTACTATTTTATAATTTAACTTTAAATTTAAAGTTTTTATTTTATAATTTAACTTTAAATTTAAAGTTTTTATTTTATAATTTAACATTAAATTTAAAGTTACTATTTTATAATTTAACCATAAATTTAAAGTTACTATTTTATAATTTAACCATAAATTTAAGAGTTACTATTTTATAATTTAACATTAAATTTAAAGTTACTATTTTATAATTTAACCATAAATTTAAAGTTACTATTTTATAATTTAACCATAAATTTAAGAGTTACTATTTTATAATTTAACCATAAATTTAAAGTTACTATTTTATAATTTAACCATAAATTTAAAGTTAATATTTTATAATTTAACTTTAAATTTAAAGTTTTTATTTTATAATTTAACATTAAATTTAAAGTTACTATTTTATAATTTAACCATAAATTTAAAGTTACTATTTTATAATTTAACCATAAATTTAAGAGTTACTATTTTATAATTTAACATTAAATTTAAAGTTTCTATTTTATAATTTAACTTAAATTTAAAGTTACTATTTTATAATTTAACATTAAATTTAAAGTTACTATTTTATAATTTAACATTAAATTTAAAGTTACTATTTTATAATTTAAAAGAGGAAATGGAATATTTAAGAGACAAAAAAGTCATAATCCAGAATTCCTTGTCTAGGGAGAAGTGAAACTTTTGAAAAATTTTTTTTTTTAAAATCATATATTTCGCGTTATCTTTTTAGGTCGCTTTAAAAAAAAACGTTACCATTTTCTTTTGTCAAATTTATTTATTTTAGGATATTTTTTTATATTTGTTTTATTACAAAAATGTATGGATTGTAAATGACAAATTCTATTCATAATTTTTTTTTAGGAGACTGAATAGGGGGGGGGGGGGGTGATTGAAGGAATGTTGGGGAGAAATTTTACTCTCCCTCACTGGGTAACACCAATTTCCAGAAGTGAGATATATTTTTTAAAACTACGTCGCGTTACTAATAAATTCGGCATATTTTTTTTACCGATTAGTAAGTAAGTAATTACTATAATAAAATTTACTATGAGTTTTGGTTAATAATTCTACTTAATTTTATAACAATAAAAATCTGAAAAGAAAGAAAGAAAGAAAGTCGTTTTTGAGCAGCTATTTTTTTAAATACGCTTTAATAGTAGTGGGGAAAAGATACGCGTTTAAGAATAATGTTTTTCTATGACATAATTTTTTAATTATTTTGAGTATAACTATCAAAATATAATTATCAAATTTATTCTGTTCTGGAATTTAAATGTTTTACCTAAATTGCATAGCCAAAATTAAATGATATTTAAATGGGAAATTTTTATTTTTTATTTGTAACTACCTAGTTGTCTAATAGTATTTATTTCGTATTAGCCCCTTCTTTAACATGGAAGAAGAACTGAAAAATTGCAAATTTATCGCTCTAGTATTTAATTTCGATACTTAACAAAACTCTTTTTGGGTTTGGTTTGTTATTGGTGCACAAATCATATTAATGAAAGAGGGGTGACGTAATATATACCTCAAACTTCTCCAACGAGGAGTGATAACCCCCATAAGATATACCCCTATGTTATTTTGGTGCACCTTCCTCCTTGTTTACAGGGGGTTACTGTGTTGACTTATACAGGAGGGATGCTCATTATATTTTTTGTACTCATGCGTTTTGTTCTCCAACCCCAATAACTAAGGTAGGAGTATATTTTATGGGGGATCACTCCTTAGCTGTAGTAGTTTTAGGTGTATGTAAATGACTAGAAATATAGAATGCAGCTCGTTGGACCTACGCCTATATTTAAGAGACAACACAATTTTACTCATTAACCAATATCTCGCTTAGACCATCTATGCCAAATTCTTTTTATTTGAAACATATATCCGAACGGTTTTTCCCTTAACGAGATTCGCTAATTTATTATTCTTAGAAATAAATTTAACATTTATTTTATCGATCTCATAAAATAAATAATAAAAGGTCTAGAAAGGGACCGGGTATTTTTGCTCGTTTTTTATAAACATGTTAATTTTTTGGAAGAAAGAAAGAAAGAAAGAAAGAAAGAAAGAAAGAAAGAAAGAAAGAAAGAAAGGGTTTAAAGTCCAATCTTTCGCGAATACATAACAAGGAATAGCGTTTCCTGTAAACACTATTGGCTTTATTTAGGATTACGTTAAAAAGTTATTTCTTTTTATTATATATACCAACGATCTTGGATAAGATGGCAACCCCTCTTGGGTACCCTTTTTTGTCAATTAATAGTTTAAACTCATCCAAGGCCCCCCTCCCCCCATCTTCCATAAAAATAAATTATGGAAATATTATGATCAAATATTGTTTAGCAAAATACTTCCTATCCCCCTATCACAGTTCCTTATTCCCATTCCCTTCCTATTGTATCTCAAAGACTTTCTTATCCACCCCCCCTCTCCGGTATTGTGAACTGCCCATTATCATTTTTGGACAGTGTCAGGCATAAACTAATCATCTGTTTCCGTGATTAACATCCGTGCTCTGGTTGTTATTAGGAATAACGTTATCCACAATCAATTCGACCTTGGATCAATTATTACATAATAATCGGGTAAGAATATAAAGGTTTAGTGGATATTGTGGGATCATCGTCCTGGGAAATTCTTGTTTAATAGATTTTTTAACCCCTTATTGCATAGCCTTAGGGGGTAATTAGATCAAATGCCAATAACAAATTTTTTAGACAAAAGGAAGCCCTCAATTAAATTTGTATTTATAGGCTAGACATTCGAGAACTATAACCTATAAATACAATATAAAGTTTTGAAGAAACATTTTAGCCCAAAAATCGATATAAATCTATGAACAGCTGATGGGTCGATAGCTGACACCATCTAATACGATAGTAGTGAATCCAAAATTTTTCTGTAGGGTTGGAGAATGGAGGGTGGTCTGACGCATAATAATATTATATGATAGGATTGAAGGATGGTTTTGCCTAGGCGAATTTTGACAATTTTGATTTATTTTTTCGCTTAAAATTATTTTTTTTCTAAATGGTTCCGGGGTCAAATAGAAATAATTAAATTATCTTAGGGCCCATATATATCCAAGTATTTTTATAAGTATTCTGCTATAGGAAATTTGAGTATGAAGACCGACGTTAATAATATATGTAGTTTTACACGAAAAATAACACTTTTTTGAAACGCCATTACGTTTTTATTTAGAACAAAAAACAAACAAAAAAAGATACAAATTATATAAAATATTATGTAAAAAATAGGTTTTAAACACAAACGAAAAATTTCTCATTGACGAAATTAACGAGAGAAGCTTTGGAGGAGCAATATTCTTGAGAAAATATAATATGCTTGGGAGAAGATGCGATAGCATTTATTTGATCGTAACTCACTCTCGGACCTACAGCGAAGACTTCTATCTCAATACCTAGGAATTTTATAGAAAAAGAAAAACAAATGTTGCAAGAATGAAATTTGAATTTTTAAGTTCATTGTATACATACCATTATATTTTATTGATTTCGCAGTTGCCTCCGGATATCCTATGGATGTCTCTGATATATAAACCCATATTTGCCTAATAGAGTATGGCCTGCTAGAATTTTTTAACATTGAATATGCGAGTGACAGGGCCTTGTCGACATTCAAATCCTCTAATAATGATAATAGTAAAGTTATTACCATTTAATTCTTATATCTGATAATTCTGCTTTAAAATATTATGTATATTACTTGTTTTATCATTGAAAATAGCCTTGGGGTTAACAAATATATTCGTAAGAGATGTCGATGCATCCAGTGCTATTTGAACGTTAGCATTTTTGTTATATGTCACGATTCCTACTCTAGCTCCATCAGGACCTAGAGGGTTTTTTTCGATAAGTTGATACAGGGAACCCTATTAAAGAAAATATTACTTTTTCATCAATTTAAAATAAATGTATCGGTTACGAAAGAGATTTGTATCGCGCATTCAAAATCAGCTGGTGAACGGTATTCCAATTCCACCAGAGCCACTACATCGATTGGTTGGGTTCTAGCACTAACGAGATCTTTGTACAGATTAATGTCAATCTCAGGGACTTTGTGATATCAAAAAATGAAAAATAAACAAAATATATTTAAAGAAAGTTTTACATTTTGGTTTTACGGTGGTATATACTGGTTTGGTGTAATAGTTATAATCTCTTGAATCATAGATTGAATACAGACATATCACAATGAGAACACTGAGAATTCTAGACATATTTATTTTGCTGAAATTGATGTTAAATTTAGTCTTTCAAACTAAAAAGAAAAAGAGTTAACAATGACAGGAGTTTAAACTAGCAAATTTTTTATTTAATATAAAATAAACTTTAACTTTAAATAATAATTATAAAAAATTTGTTTTTATATTCAAAAGTTTTTTTTATCTTCCTTTTTATATCTTAAAATAAGATCTATCCTATTTTACGTGTAATTTTTTTTTTTTTAAAATATGATTTTATACTTATATAAATAAATTTAAATCTAAATTTAACAAAACAGATATATAAATAACTATAGGCTGTTTAATGTATTTAAAAAGTAAAACCATGCTTAAATTGTTATAATTTTTTTTAATTCGCAAATCATTTAAAAAATTTGTTGTTAATTTAACTCGATAATTTAAAATTACATGAATTTGGCAATTGGATCTAGCAAATAAAATAGTTTTCTTTAAATTATTAAATTGCTTATTTATTTAAGAAAAAAAATAGTATTCTTTGTCCGATACACTGGCAGATCGAGGATTTTTATAAAGAGAGAAAGGAACAACCATAAAGTTTTACCAGATTTTTTTTTAAAACTTTTGGCACGATTGCATTCTTTTAATTATATAATTTTGGTTTTTAATTTTTATTTTTTCTCACTTTTAATCATCATTTTTTTTAAAAAAAAATTTATTAATTTTATGCTCATTTTTTTAAAAAAATAATTCAATAGATTTCACAAACTACGTTTTCGTAAAATTAGGTTTAATTGCATTTAAATTTCCACCCATAGAGGTTGGATGTCAGGAAGGGAATCCATTGTAAAAACCTTTATACAAAATTTCCTAATGAATAAATCAGGGGGAAAACTGGCCAACCTAGGTAAAAAAGATGAAGTATACTTTCCATGAGGATTGGTAATAAAAAACACACACAAAAAAAACAATATTTAGAAGGTTATATTTCATATGATGCAACAAAATATAAAAAAACACCCTTTATAATGGAAATATTTGGAAATGATCCTATCTTTTTCTTGCAATAATTATTATTGTCCTAACATTATATTCTTTATAAAAAAACATGTTTTTTTTAAATATCTTTAGTTAATCAATTTATAAAAATTATTTTTAAAATAAATACGCCACCTTGCGGAACAAATATTATAGATTTAACATTTCTTTCTTTTCCCATTAAAAAGCTGGGTAAAATGCAATTTCATGATGTGTTCCCAAAAAGGAATCATGATTATATCCAAAAATTTTTATTTATTTGACGAATATATAAAATTTATTTGGCTACTTTGGGTAAAATGCCGAATTTGATTGCTAAGATTTTTTAAAAACTTAAACTTTAATGGAGCTAAATGGCGGAAGTTAGTATTGGAATAAGAAATTTGTTAAGATTTTTGGTATCACGTCAATTCGGCGCGGAAAATTTGGCGCACGACAATTCGGCGCAGAAAACTCGGCGCTGCGTCAATTCGGCGCTTCGTCAATTCAGCGCGGCGACAACTCGGCGCAACGTCAATTCAGCGCGACGACAACTCGGCGCAACGTCAATTCGGCGCGGCGACAACTCGGCGCAACGTCAATTCTGCGCATCGTCAATTCTGCGCCTCGTCAATTCAGCGCGGCGACAACTCGGCGCGTATCTAATACAGTTGCAATTTATTATAAATTTATTAGCATAAAAAAAAGGATGATTAAATAGAAATGATTTTGAATGTTGGTCATATTAATTATTTCTTCGTATTTTTTTTTACAAAAATCTCAATTTTATTTACTAAATGTGTAATTTCAATAAAATAATTAACAACCGATATTTATACCGATTTCCTTGCTGGACCAATTTACCACATTATAAGGTAGGGGAGACTGGGGTTAGTCGGACCGATTTTTATAAAATTGGCTATAGCTCCTGGTTTTTTAGATAATATAAAAAAATATATGATTAGATACCTCATAATTGACGTGTATGGTTTAGCAAGCCCTGCTAACTTAAATTTCTGGATATAATAAATACTCATAAAACTTTCCCAAATTATAAAAACTTCATCAATATTTTATTTCTTAAATTCTTGATAATTATTTCTTTCCGAAGATTTTTTTTTGGCGATTTTTTTTCCTATTTTGTTAATTTTCTAAAAATAATTTAATATTTTATATGGATCAAAAATTAGGGGATTATTTTCCCGGGAATTTTTTTCCATGGGATTTTTTTTACGGGGATTAATCTTCCGGTGATTTTTTTTCCGTCCTAGATTCAAAATTATGTTAAATCTTAATTCCCCTTTTTCCCTCCTCTTTTTAGACAACAAAAATATATAAATATATATTTTATTTTCGGATTCAAAATTATGTTAAATCTTAATTCCCCTTGTTCCCGCCTATTTTTAGAAACAAAAATAAATTAATATATATTTTATTTTCGGATTTATTCCTTTTTATCAAATTTTATGTAATATATATAATCAAATTTTATCAATAGACCCTAAATATTTAATTCAACTTAAATATAGTTTCAAATTAATTTTTAATCTTTCCATTCTCCTTGTATCATTATTTACTCTTCTTCTTTCCATGATTTAATCTCCTCTAATTTTCCAATATATCAATCTTCCTATAATTTTACTAATGATATTTTCCTATAATTATTAATATCTCCATCCTATATTATATATAAACTATATATTTATAAAACTAGTTTTTCATTAAAAGATATATTCATCCAAATTAATTGTTAAATTTATTTCATACTAATTTATACATACCATAATTTGACCTATTATGCCTTCATATTTCTCTCTTTCCTCTTACCTCTTCCATCAATCATTACTTCTTCTATTGTTGTGCCGCACATCCCAGCGTCTCAACCTGTTGAACCTGTTAGTGCTTGATTCACTTTTTTTATTCGAATTCGAGTTCGTTATTTCAATGATTATGATAACCGGCACCATTAACAGATATTATCAATATATAATAATCATATTAAAATTATAATACACCTTTTATTAACTCCTCAAATATATATTCAAATATAATATTCAAAATATATCTCGTGTGATTATAATAATAAAAAAAATTGTTAGAATGAAAAAAATATTATTCAAAATATATCGAATCATCATCATATCATTTTAAATCGCATGATAAATATATATATCAAGCACGTTTGTCATAGACCTGCCCAAAGTGAGCGAACGTGAATTACATGGAGGCCCACCCTCTATATAATTATGCCGACTTTTTTTTTAAGGATATCAACAAACCGTATAACTCAGTAGTTTTATCATAAAAGAGTGATATTACGCCCTATCAGGTTTTAGTATTATTTAGTTATGAGTAATATAAGAGAGAAGACAAGAAGAAAAGAGAAGAAAAAGAAGGCTATTTCTTTCAAATACAAAATAGTTATTATTTAATTATTTAGAGTTTCCGTTTAGCTATAAAAATTTTTTTTTTAAATCCACTAGTAATTTTAAATATTTAGAAATTTTCCTATTATGAGAAATTTCTAGTTCAATTTTATTTAAGTTTAATTATTTATAATTAATATTTAAATGACCTTAATATACCTTATTACTTTATAACTGACTAAAATTTGGTCACATTACACCTTGTAATTGTCTAATGTCGTCAAAGAAAATGCCTAAAAAACAATACATCGAGTATCAGATATGGTAGATCTTGATAGCACTGATCCAGTACCCTGATACCCATTTTTAAATTGGTGATAACAATAATGTTAAGCAAATGAAAACAATAAAATTAAATGTTTATAGGTCCTTTATAAAAATATGGTGGTCAAAATAAATGTCAATTCCGTTAAAGATCCGACTTTTCAATATTCTGGTACTCGCTTCTTTACATTATGGTATCGAAACATGGAACGATACAAAATTGTATAATAAAAAGATGCAAACATTCATTAACAAATGTCTTAGAAATATTACTAGAACCTTCATCCCTCAAAATACAACAAACTATGTTATATGGGCCAGATTCGACACACACCCACTATATAGAATGATAAAATACAGGAAAATCTACCTAGTAGTACATATTTTCAACCTAATATATCAAGCACTCGTTAAAATTCTCAGGAGGAGTCAGCCCTCAAATCATTCCTTACTTATAAAAAATAATTGATTCGGCAGAAAAACCAGATTATTAGCTGAAATAGGCATATCCTGGATTTAAGCGAGCTTAACAGATAGAAAAACTTTTACAACCATTTTAAGGCTAATCTATGATCATCTGACTGCTGAGTTTTGAGAGATAATTATATATTTATTTTTTAAGAAAAGATCTCCAATACTCTATTGATTGTTAGTTTTCTAATAAATGATATTTATTTTTCTAAATGAATATAGACTGCTGACAGGAAATTTTTAAGAAAAGATATTCTGATACTCTATTCACAGTTATAAATATTATCTAGTTCTAAATTAAGTATATCTTACCGATATAATATTGTAGTTTATGATAATGTCATTTTAATTTTCATCCGTAATACAAAATTAAAATTTATCATGACTAGGGTAGGGACTTTAAGGTCCCAAATAAAGTAGATAAAGGGAATTTGATTATTAGTTTAGAAATAAACTATGAGAAGCAAATAAAATTTTATAAATAATTTTTTCCGATTACAAAGTGAAATTTAAATATAACGTAGAATAACCTATATATAACGTGTCTTTTACTGATCACATAATATTTTACTAAATATTTATAAAATACTTACAATACCTAAACCGAAAATCAAATAATTAAATAATAGCTATTATATATTTAAAAGAAAGAGTTTCTTTTTTTTCCTTTCTTACCATTTTTTCTCCTTCACACTCATAACTATGACTCACTCAATATTTAATGAACCTCTGGCCCCAAAGTGTTTCATTTTTTTCGTATAAACTAATTTGTGACCACCTATATAAATTTTTTTAAGTGTTTAGACTTATAATTTTAGAAGAAAAAAAAGTGTATCATTATAAACATTCAATTTATTTCATATTTTTTTGCCAACCACTAGCAATCCTCTA